GGTTTTGTTTTGCTTGCTTGCTTGTTTGTTTGTTTGTTTGTTTGTTTGTTTGTTTTAATCTCTCCATATAGCCAAAGCTCCTGCCTCAGTCTCTCTTAAGTGCTAAGAATCCAGGTGTAAGATAACAAGTCTGGCCAAAAACCTTACTAATTGCTTAAAGACAAAGGTAAAACATTTTCTTTTGTTTTGGAATGAGGCCCCACTGTATTATGCAGGGTTATCTTAGACTCCTGGGCTCAACGAATCTTCCTGACTCACCTTAGGATGTTTTATTTTATAAATGAAGGTCTTTAAGTTCTTTTTTAAAAATATTTATTTATTTATTTATTTATTTATTTATTTATTTATTTATTTATTATGTATACAATATTCTGCCTGTATGTATGCCTGCAGGCAGAAGAGGGCACCACACCTTATTACAGATGGTTGTGAACTACCATGTGGTTGCTGGGAATTGAACTCAGGACCTTTGGAAGAGCAGGCAATGCTCTTAACCGCTGAGCCATCTCTCCAGCCCCGGTCTTTAAGTTCTTTAAAAAATATTTAAAATTATTTACTTTGTGTCTGTATTGGGGGCACATATATGAAGGTCAGAGGATGACATATTGCCTGTTCTGGTGGTCAGTTCTCTCCTACCATGTGGGTCTCAGAGAAGAAACATTGGTTCTTAGGCTTTGTGGCAGTGCAGCTGAACCAGCTCCTTAGCTCAGAGAGCTTGATATATATATAAATATTATATTTAGGACATCTCTACTTTGCTTCTTTCCTTTTCTTTTTTTCTTCTCTTTTCCTTTTTTTTTTTTTTTTTTTTTTTTTTTTTTTTTTTTTTTTTTTTNTTTTTTTGAGATAGGGTAGACTTGGTTGACCTGGAACTTACTATTTAGACCAGGTTGGTCTTGAACTCACAGAGATCTGCCTGCCTCTGCTTCTGCCTCCTGAGTGCTGGAATTAAAGGCAGATACCACCAGATCACTTGCTTTCTTTAGTTTAATTAATCTTGTCTAAAACTTAATGTTCATCTTTTCCCCCCAAACTTGCTGCTTTTTCTGTATTCCTTCTCTCTTTCAGTGGGATACCAGGTGCTCCAGCCGGAAATGCAGGTAAGTATCCTGGAGTTTTTCTCCTTCTTGCCTATTCAAGTGTTGGTTCTGGGATTGCCTCCTTCTGCTTCTCAGCCTCTCTCTCTCTCTTTCTTTGCCTTGTTGATGACAGGAGGGGTCACCTGCTCTGTGCTCTTGTCCATCCTGCAACTGTTCCTTCCCTGCAGCTTATTCTTCAGCCTATTGGCATAAAGCAGAGGAATCCTCAAAGCCTGAGGTTGTTCTTTGAGGCGAGACACATTTCCACCATCCCCACTCCTGAGGTTACCTGAGAGTTTCAATCCCATCACATAGATTTGCAGTTCCCTGTAATGAACATGGTCTTTTGTTTTGTTTTTAAAATAGTGTTACTTCCCTCCATCAGTGAACCCTCACTTGTTCTTCAATTCTCCTCTGACCTGAGTTCTTGCCTTTTTCTCCTCCAGACACCCTGCTTTTGCCATTGTGTAGACTCAGTGTGTGACACTTGGGTATGCTCTACAGTACTTGTTGGAAAACAGACTCTGTTCACACAGCGCTGTGAATGAGCTGTGTCTGACTCTTCTCAGAAGGGGTTCTGTTTCAGTATTGGTCATTACTGGCCAAGGTAGGTAGGGGCAAAAAGATTTGATGATCCCAGAGCTGGAAAAGGCTTTTTGTGAGATAAGGGGTTTGCCTCCCTTGGATCACCATGAAAAAACAGGCCAGTGTTCATTTTAGTAGACTGCCAGATAGCTGGTGACTCGGTTTACTTACTTAGTTTTACAACAAGAGCATTTATTCACAGTGGTGACTCCGGAGGCCCCTTTCCAGCTCCAGTAGTCAGTAGGACTTTGCACCAATGTTAAGATATAAGTAGGGAAAATAATGTAAGTAGGGCATTCTGGATTATTTGGAGAATTGTCTCCTCACTTTATTGCAAGCTCCATAGGGCAATGACATTGTCTTTTTGCATTTAACAAAAAAATAGGCCCGCATTTTAAAAAAGAAAAAATTGGAAGGGGTACAGGAAAGCTGCAGTAATACTGTATTACGTTGAGATTTTCTGCTCTCCAGTATGGAAGTTCACTTTCCTTCTGGGGCTCTGCTCACCCTGCTTTCTGACAGCCAAGGCCAGGCCTTCCAGTGCCAGTGAGTTATGGTGAATTGGGAGTGATATCCTGATCCTCTTGGCCCTTGGGTGTTTAACTTCCCGGAGTTAATGCCTGTTCTTTAGTGGCACATTATCTTGTGGCAAGGTAGGCATTTATAATTTATATACTGTGTGCTGCTTAAAATAGAGACAAGAGGATAATCAGCATCCTGAAGCTTCCAGTTCTCCAAAATAACATTTCTTCAGTTAAGTCTGCCTGTAGGAATTAAGATCTTCAAAGAATTAAAAAACTCTCCATCCAGTTGTCAAATGAGTATGTCTATTATCCAGCCTTACAAAAGGGGGAAAGTAATTATATTTTAAAAATAAAACTGAGCTGGGTGGTGGTGGCGCACACCTTTAATCCCAGCACTCGGGTAGCAGAGGCAGGCGGATCTTTGTGAGTTTGAGGCCAGCCTCGTCTGCAAGAGCTAGTTCCAGGACATGCTCCAAAGCTACAAAAAAAACTGTCTCGAAAAACCACAAAAATAAATAAATAATAATAATAAAATCTTTTTTCTCACTCAAAAATCTTAAGATTTCCCTCTTTGTAGTATTCGAGGAACCTGATTATAGTCAGAGAGGGTTTTGGGCCAAGGTTGCAGGACAGATAGGAGAAATGCCTTGCTTGGTAAAGGACCAAAGCCAAAATGCCACTTGTGTGCTGTGATCTTGGTGTTCAACCATTTGGGTTGCTGGCTCTGGCTGCAAACACACAGAGAGTTGGCTTTTCCTGTTGAGTACTGGAAGAAGACTCTACATTCACATCTATTAAAGCTGGGGGTATGGTTCAGTAGAAGGATACTTGCCTAAGAAGCGCAAGATCCTGAGTTTGATCCCTAGCATTTGGAGTGGGGGGAATGGTAAAGGGATGGGCAAGATGGCTAGCTGGTAAAAACACTTACTGTACAAGCCTGTCTATAAGAGTTTGGTCCCCAGAGCCATATAGCTCCACATACTCATTTCACATACCCGACACAAACATTGAGGTCGGCCTCTGGTTCCTCTGGAGCCATTCACCTTGTTCATGTTTATCTGTTGAGGGTGTGTGTGATGTGAATGCCACGGTGTGTGGGTGGAGGGAGACAGGGTTTCTCTATGTAGTCCTAATTGTTCTGGAACTTGCTCTGTAGACCAGGCTGGCCTTGAACTTGGAGATCCTCCTGCCTCTGCTTTTGAAGTGCTGGGATTAAAGAACTGCACCACCATTGCTGGCTCCTTTTTTTTTTTTTTTTTTTAAGCTTTATGCTCAGTGGGACCTGGGTTCCTTTATTAGGCTGGTTGGCACCCACACCCCAGAGATTACAAGCATGGGCCACCACAACCAACTTTCTTTGTGTGGGGGTGTTTCAAGAGGGTTTCACTGTGTAACCCAGGCTGTCTTGGAAATCATTCTGTAGACCAGGCTGGTCTCAAGTTTACAGAGATCTGCCTCCTGAGTGCTAGAATTAAAGGCATATGCTGCCACAGCTAGGCTCACATCCAGCTTTTTACATGAGTGCTGGGTCCCAACTCAGGTTCTCAGGCTTAAGTGACAAGCATTTTACTGAGCTGTCTCCCAGGAGGGTGGAGGTTTCCTGGTGGGGATGGGACAAGAGCAGATACTTCTGTAGTCAGGTGACCGTACTATTCCTTTACATTTGTGTCTCAGGATTGCTCTTGCATATTTTTCATATGATCATATCTGTATTCAAGTGTTTATTTGAATGTTTATTTGATACATGGGATGGCTGGAGTGGATATCCAGTAAGCAGTAACTAAGAGGTAATATAGGAAAAATCTAATTGACTGAAATCCACTAGGTGGCAACATTTACTCAGCTGCCCTGCACCCTCTTTTCCTATGAAGATGTTTGAACTTGCTTTTTCCACCTACACCATTGAATAGCAGAGAAAAAGAAAATGGTTTAGCAGAGATTTAAGTATTTTTGAAAGTGAGGCTATGGAATAAACATGCCATAGTTAATTTGTATATTCATCACATTGGTTGGACACTGAGCATTTGGAATTGCTTTTTGTGCCTGTGGGCAAGTTGCTTCTGCTTGGGCCCAACCAGACATCCTGATAGAGACCTGCAACTGGCCTATCTGGTCTCTCATGGTTCTTGTGCTCTACAATTTGTGGCTTTGGTTATAATTTCCATATATTTAATTTTTTTCCTGGTAAGACTAGTCTTTAAGTTAAAAAGAGAATACTTAACCTTTTATCAAATGGCAGAGTCATGATTAAAAAAAAAAAAAAAACTCAAGCCGGGCGGTGGTGGCGCACGCCTTTAATCCCAGCACTCAGAAGGCAGAGGCAGGTGGATCTCTGTGAGTTTGAGGACAGCCTGGTCTACAAGAGCTAGTTCCAGGACAGGCCCCAAAGCTACAGCGAAACCCTGTCTCCAAAAACCAAAAACCAAAACAAAACAAAAACCCAATCTCAAGGGAGGTAGCGTTTCACAAACTAGCCATCTAACCATCTTCCTGGGCTAATTTAGGATGCTTGACTCTCCTAAATGAGGCTGCTTACTTACCAGGTTTGCTAAACTCGCAGCTTCAGGGATATTGCGATCTGTACAGAACTGTCCAAGGAGGTATTGTGTGTGCTCCGCAGCAATTGAGCCATTAAGCTCTAATTGATATTTTCCCACTCATGGTTTTGTGTTGGAAGCTTTGAAATTATTTAGGAATTCAGTGCTCATCAGCCATTTTGGTGACAGTAGAGAGTGCTGAGAACAGTTTTGTGTATGAATTGATTATGATTTTTGCTTACAACGTCCTTCCCTGTTGGTTTGTTATATTGCAGATGAAATGGAAAGGGAAGGACCTGTTTGATCTGGTGTGCCGGACACTGGGGCTTCGGGAAACCTGGTTTTTTGGACTGCAGTACACAATCAAGGACACTGTGGCCTGGCTCAAAATGGACAAGAAGGTTGGGCTAGATCTCCATGAAACCAGTGGGGGAGGCTTGTACTTTCCAGTTGTTTTGTTTTTGTTGTTGTTTTGTTTGGTTTCTTCCTGAGCGTGCACTTAGCTCATTTGCTTATTGTTGGAGTATCACAAGGACGTAGTAAAGAAGAGGGCAATTTTTAATATTAAGTCATATATTTAGGAAACAAGTCCTACAGGCATTTCTGCTCTCCAAAGACTCTCCCAGACAAGCAAGATTCACCATGTCTAAACCTTGACCAGCTTTTCTACCCATTGTCACTACCCTGTCTGCTTTTTGGCATTATGCCCTTCTGTTTATTGAACCACTAGTCAGGTTTTATGGATAACATTACTACTACCTTTGTATACTTAAAAAAAAATAAACCAACAATTTATGTCTTTGAGAGATTCTCCTAGGGCTCATGTTCATTTTTTTTTAAATTTTAAATAAGTCTTTGAGAACACCAAGACCCAACTGACTTAATCATTAACAAGACTTAAGGAATAAAGAGCCTGAGGAGAAGGAGCAATGCCCATTTCCTCCTCAGAATTCTCTGGGGTTTATCTTTTTTAAATTATCTATTTATTATTTATTATGTATACAATAGTCTATCTGTGTGTATGCCGAAGGCCAGAAGAAGGCACCAGACCTTATTACAGATGGTTGTGAGCCACCATGTGGTTGCTGGGAATTGAACTCAGGACCTTTGGAAGAGCAGGCAATGCTCTTAACCACTGAGCCATCTCTCCAGCTCACTCTGGGGTTTATCTTAAGCACATGAAATCTAGGTTTCTAGTAATTTGAAGGTGGCTTGGAAATGGCTCAGGGAGGCTGCCCATTTATGGGCTCATATATCCACACAAAGACATGCCTGTCTATTTTCCTGACTACCTAACAGTGAACACAGCTGAAGAACATGGCCAAAAGACCTCTGATTCCCAAAGTGACTCCATGTCCAATTCTGACCCTAAATGGTGCCCCTGTCAATTGCCCCCGAAGTTATCTCCTGCATAATGTGATAACCAGCAAAAGTCTCATCTTACTAGTGTTAAGTGAGATATTCAAATTGTGTTCACAGCATGTATATGGTGATTGCCTTCATGCTTAGAACTCCCGATCATTGTCAGTTTCCGTGGTCAGTTCCAATGATTAGAAACTCCAGATGCCACAAAGAGCCAGTGCTGAGGAGGGCAGCTAGATTAGACTTATTGTGAGTCCCCTGAGACTGCCACTGGAATTCAGGCAGGCATATAGAGAATTCTGAAACACAGCAAAGCTTTCTGTGTCTTTTTATGATTCTCAGCAAAGTGAATTTTAAATCATACCTGAATGTTAGCCAAATGGATATTAGATTGGGGGCATCAGGAGTCATAGAACCTGCTGCTCAAAGGAAATAAATTATGACACATGTTAATGGAGCCTGGTAGCATGTTTATGTCCTAAAATGAAATTCACTCTGGAGAGCAGATGGTCCAGTCTTTTCAGGGGGTGGTGGGATTGCTAGAAGATTAAAGACAGTGGTTTACTTACTGCATGCAAGCATTTTGTGACCATCTCTGAAAGATTCCACGAACAAAGCATTGCCGTGATGGCCATGTTTTACTTCTAGTATTCATAACATATAAACAATGTCACAAAGATCTAGTTTATTGTGTTTAAGTTGTATTCCAGGGGAACCTATTAGAGTGGTCAGTAAAAAAAAAAAAAGGAATAAAGGAAGATGTTACTATTTCAGAATACATCTTCAGTCTTTCATAAAGGATAATGCCCAAGATCTTTGAGTTATACATTCTAGTTTTATAGCTATTTTCTGTGGCTTTGACACTGCTGCTGTCTCTGTAGCTCTGGTCACCCCTTGAGTTTATTGATTGTTTGATTCAGAACCCCCTATGCGAAGTGGAAATTATCTCTTGCTATGGATGGCTCTGTGAATACTTCCAGTTGTAGAAATACAACCTTTGGGAAATGGGATGCTTGTAACAAGGGAAGGGATTTCATACCTTCCCTGCAAAGCATACTCTGATGACAGTACGTGAAGAAGAAGAGCCAGCACAGCATGTCTTTTGTCTGAAATTCTGCAGGTGTTGGATCATGATGTTTCGAAGGAAGAACCGGTTACCTTTCACTTCCTGGCCAAATTTTATCCTGAGAATGCTGAGGAGGAGCTAGTTCAAGAGATCACGCAACACTTATTTTTCTTACAGGTACACTGGCTCATGCTATCTCCCCCAGTACTAAGAGGACCGATTTGAGTATGTTTACAGAAGCAGCCCAGGCCAACCCCTTGGAGTTGGCAACAATTGCTTCTATACTGCAGAAAATATTCTGTCTCCAAATAGTCAGTCCTTTTGGTTCAGTAATGGAAAAAGAAAGATCTTCAGAATAGAACTTTCCCCGATGATGAGAATTGGTGTCAGATGGAATTGCAGAGGTGTGATGGTGCAGCACAGACAAACAGGTTATAAACCTCCATGACCGTGGAGCCCAGTTTCTTCTCGCTAACTTGAAAGCACTCTGAGGTTATAAAGAAAAGCTTCAGAGGCTTAGCTTAGTTCCTCTAACTGCCGCATCAAGGCAGTTCTTCTGAATGGCAGTGACTCTGGTCTGACCCTTGCCTAAGGCATTTCAGACAGCCTGCTCTGTGCTACTCTGGGTGTATATTGTCATTTCCTCCTTCACTGGATTGCAGGCCCCTTAAAGATAGGCTCGTTGAATATACAGTTGGTATTCTTAAATAATTCTTCAACCAAACTGAAGAAATTGGGTGTTCCAGAATTACAAATTGACCATCTAGGGACACAGGGAGTTGCTTATTTAAGGATGGAAACCTTACTTTGTCAGAGAGCCTCCTCAGTTTTATGGCTATCTGTGGTGATTGATGCTGAAATTGCTTATGTGCCCCAAGGTAGCCCACTGTCTGTGATGTGACAGATTATAACAGGGCATTAAATGCATTGACTTCCCAGAAGTACACCTGGGATTCTTCACAGAAGCCTTGTAATATGGAGCCTCTGTGTTGTGTTCAGGATATAGATTGTGAACTGTGACATTACTCTCTGTATAATGCTGTGTTGTGTTGTGTGTATTGTTAAGAGGATCTCACTCCATAGCTAAGGCTCATTCATGCCTCAGCCTCTAGAATGTTGGAATGTGTGCCCCATGCCTGGCTAACTAGTTTCTTTTACAAAGGAGTTTCGTGCATGCATGCATGCATGCGTGTTTTAGGTCAAAAGGTAGCCCTTTCAGATTTTTTGTATTTTGGTTTCTTTTTTATCTTTTTGTAAAGATACTAGGAGATCTGAAGGTTTCACTGCTTTAGAACATCTCAGCTTTTATTTTCACGTAGTTTAAAACCTGGGGAGAACTGTATGTGTGAATAAAGCCACATGAAGTTTCTTTGGGGTTGGGAATATAGCTCTATAGAATGCTTGCCTTGTATTCATGAAGCCTTGAGCATAGCGAACTTTTGTAATCCACTGGAGGATCAGAAATTTAGGGTCATCTTCAGTTACATAGAAAGCTCAAGACCACCTTAAGCTACATGAGACCAGAGTACCTTAGTATTATAGGAATGACTTTCCTGTGAGTACTTGAGGCAGCACCTCGCCTCCTGTGACTTTTGCTTGAATTTCCTTCATACTGAGATGTTAGATTGTTTTTGTGAGTAAGCAAGGCAACGTCTACTAATATAGGAATCTGTGAAAAGAGTTGGCTTTCCTTAATGTACCCCCACTTCATGTGGCTCTCTTGTCCTTGTGTCTGGAACATCATACACTGCACCACTGTACAGAGTTAGGTGCAGTGAGATATGTTAATTCAATATTATGGCTTAGGAATTATATTTCCTGAACCTCATGTGTACTTAAAAGTTGAATCGATCAAATTTTATTGCTTCCTTTTTCCTTAGAGCAGCACATTGAAAGAGATGACTTTTTTCTACAGTCATAATTCAGTGGCCTTGATGCCTTTTGTCTTGTATGAAGATTTGAAAGTAGCTTCCATCTCTTCTAGGACTGTGTGTGCTCCACAGGGCCCAAGACTGAGACAGAGTGCAGCCACCCTTAGCCATAGCCCCCGTCAGTCTCTGCTGTAGTCAAGCAGATCGTCTTTACTCTCCAGCCTTGACTCTGAGGAGAAGAGATGAGGGCTTTTGTGCAGCAAGCTTACTGGTAACTTCTTAGTGGCTGAACTCTCAACTGGTCTGCAACACTTTTAAAAAAAGTCTCCTTTGTCAGAAAATCATTAATAGGCTGCTTTGGCAGTCCTCATTTAGAATACCTGCAGCCATCCGCTGTGACCAGGCGGACTGCTGTCTTCCAAACATGCCATCTCACAATCTCCTCCCCTACCCCCTTCTCTCTCTCTCTCTCTCTCTCTCTCTCTCTCTCTCTCTCTCTCTCTCTCTCTCTCTCTCTGCCCCTTTCAGGTGAAGAAACAGATTTTGGATGAAAAGATCTACTGCCCTCCTGAGGCTTCAGTGCTCTTGGCTTCCTATGCTGTCCAGGCCAAGGTGGGTCCAAAGAAAGAAAAATGCGTTCTTCCTCAGCATTAACATGTCACAGCATGGCTCCAATTTTCCATTTTTTTGGATTTTGGAGATTTCAGAACAACTTGCCCCCGAAAATGAGATGTCATGAGAGTTGGGTATCTACTGTTGCTGCCATAACTTCTGCATATTTTGTATATATGTATATTGTGTATACAAGTGACAAGCATATCATTCTAATGACTTACAATTCATTCTAAGTGAATTCATTCAGAAAGATGGATTCTCTATGTAATCTCATTATGCACATGTGGTTCATTACATTCATTGCATCAGCTTCGTTTTATTAGTCAGGGAAAGTGAATTTATGGTCTCTAATTATGATCAAATGAGGCCTTTAGGTGAACAGGACCCAGATTCTCTATCCAAACTCATCTTTCCAGAGAATACATTCTTAGAAGCCACACTCCTGGTGAGGCCCCAGTAAGTATACTTTGTGCATGTGGCTAGGAGCTGGGTCTGCTGAGCCTGCTGGGCCCATTGGTGCTGTCTCATCAGCCTAAAGTCGTTTATTCTCAGTTAGACAGCAGACCAGGAGTGGTGAGAGAGGAGCATCACTGAGTTTCTGTCCTATTATAAGGCCAACTAGAGTGTTTGATGACCCTTGAGTTTCCCACCTTACTCACATTTTCAGATCAAAGCCAGGAATGACTTGTTTGCCATTTGGAATGGGAAAAGGGCTTCAAAGTGTGTGTGCTGGTCAGGCCAGTAGAAGCACAGAGTCAGTTTAGTCATTTGATGACCCATTAGTGTCTGCTGAGTAGGCACAGGGCTTGAGACATGAGACTTGTTAACTGTCCGATGCAGGTCCTAGAGCAAGTTTTGCCCTCAGTGATTCTCTAAGGTCTTTGGTAGCTTCATGGGTGAAGCTAGAGACAGAATCTATGGCTTTAGAGTTATATTTTATACCTTCCTTGAAAAAGGAATAATTGAGAAAACAGAAAATGGGCTGTGGTTCAAGTAAAGCATATGCTCCTTTTATGCTTCGATCAAGAATATTAGTAACAGGAAAAATGTATCCTTTCAGTCCTAACAGTGACAAAGCAGTCATCATTACTTTCCTTAAATCCATGTACTTGGCTCAGAGTTGAGCTCCTTTTTTGCATGTTTTCTCCTATTTGAAACCCAACCAAGCTCTCAAGGATATTACCTCAGTCTCAAAGGCTATGGGGTTTTGGGTCACAAATTCAAAGGCCACTTATTTGGGAGCAGAGGAGTGGGATCATTTTCAAGGAACCAGCAGATGTTTGCTTGAACAGATTTCACTGCAGGAAAGCCCTACTTATTTGGCTTCTGCCAATTTGGAGATGAAAGTGATTCACAGACAACATATGTGGTTCATATGGAGGTAGGTGCTCGAACTATTTTTTCCGGTGTTAAATTTAGAAATCTTACAAATACAGGTAATCTCTAGCTTTTAAAGTCTGTATTCAGGCTGGGTGTGGTAGGCACACCTTTAATACTAGACAGGGCAGTCAGATCCTGTGAGTTCCAGGCCAGCAAGGGCTGTAGAGTGAGGCCTTGTTTGCATTCAGGAAACCATGTTACCAGCTTCTCAGACTACTGGTTAATAGTGAGCACATATGTAGGATGAGCTTATCTATAATGTTTATCAAAATACCCCATGTAGTATTTTTTGGAAGCCAAAGCTGACAGAATTAAAGGTTAGAAAAGATGAATGAGCTGGGCGTAGCGGTGCATGCCTTTAATCCCACCACTTGGCAGAGGCAGGCGGATCTCTGTGAGTTCAAGGCCAGCCTGGACTATAATAGTGAGTTCCAGGACAGGCCAGGGCTACACAGAGAAACCCGTCTTGAAGAAAAACAAAACAAACAAAAAAGATGAATGGTTTGTTCAGGGTCAAAATGCTTTTATGTTATTTCTATACTTATGAAATGTACAAGCCACTTGTTTTGTTGTGTTTTGTTTTAATGGTACAGAGGACAAAACCCAAAGCCCAGCACATGAGGCAAGTGCTCTACCATACATGCCTCTTCGTGAAGATTGAAACAGTGGGACGAAGGGTAGAGCCAGGCTGGAAACCCAGGTGTCTAGGCTGCCTGACCCAGCACTTTGTTCCTGCCCCTTCACTGTTTAGTGAAGTTTGTGGAGGTCAAACATTAACTTTCACTAAATTCTAGTTTCATTTACAAGATGAACACTGGGGCTGGAGAGATGCTCAGTGGGTAAAAGCATTGTCTGCTCTTACAGAGGACCCATGTTCAATCCCCAGCATCCACACACAGCTCACCATTATCTGTAGCTCTAACTCCAGGGATCTTACACCTTCACACAGACATACATGAAGGCAAAGTACCAATGCACTTAAAATATAAGCAAACAAAAACAACTTGATGGTAGGATGCTCATTATTAATATATTAATTTTACCAATTTATAAGTAGAAAGTAGATCTTCCTATTTACTGATGCATTTGTGTGTGTGTGTGTGTGTGTGTGTGCGCGTGCGTGTGTGTTTTGAGACAGGGTTTCTCTGTAGTTTTGGAGCTGGAACTAGCTCTTGTAGACCAGGCTGGCCTCAAACTCACAGTGATCTGCCTGCCTCTGCCTCCCAAGTCCTGGGATTAGAGGTGTGCGCCACCATTCCCCGGCATCACTGATACCTTCTTAAATGTCTTAAGTTTTTAAGTTTTTATGATGTAAATATTTCACTTGTTTGGTTAGAGTTACACCAGGATATTTTACATGATTTGTGGCTACTGCAAAAGCTGTCATTTTACTGATTTCTTTCTTGATTGTGAGTTAACATTGTATTCAACTATTTGAATAAAAGTTTTTATCAGTAGGAGTTTCCTGGTGGAATTTTTAGGGTCATAATGTATACTATCATGTCATTTTCAAATAAATACACTTTTAGGTAATCCATACTTGTTATGTACAGTTTGTTTTCTTCCTAGCCATTCTGAAATAGAAAGAAATTCTAGAAATATGGAGAAGTGAAACAGAGCTCATTAACACATGGAACATAATTGTGTGCAAATGTATTCATTACAGTATTTCAGCTGTTGGGATGATATAGACACACTTAATCCCAAAGCATAAAGAAACAACTTCAAAATATAAATACAAATATTAATCACATGGTTCAGTCAACAAGAACCATATTTCTTGGTTCTTGTTTGAGTTATGCTAGAATCAAAAGAATAGATCAGTCAGTCACATGACAAGCAAAACCATCTTGCAGTTTTTAAGCCACCTGTTGATTTTATATGGACAATTTAGTGTTTCAAGTGTGTTTTTCTTTCTTTCTGAAATATGTTTGTACTGAAAATTACTAGGAGAGAATAAGGTATCATTCGTGAAACTTTGTGCTGCCTGTGGGCTCTTTCAGAAGGAAGAAAAGAATGGTGTGAGATGGAGCTGGAGAGATGGCTCAACAACTAAGAGTGCATCTGCTTCTCAGCAGTTTACAAGCCTGTAACTCCAATTCTGGGGCATTTGGTTCTCTCTTCTGGTCTCTGAGGGCTCCTGCACACATGTGGTACACATATGCACACATGTGGTACACATATACTCACACACAAAGGCTCACACGCATATACATAAATTAAAAATAAGTAAGTCTGCTCAGGCTTTGTGGTGTGTACCTTTAATCCCAGCACTTGAGAAGCAGAGGCAGGAGAATCTCTGTGAGTGTTGAGGCCAGCATTTGACCAGTTTCAGGTCTGCCAGGTCTACATACATAGACCATGTCTCAAAAATAATGCCTCTAGAAGTATGTTCTGATCTAACTTACAGCAGCAGTATGTGAGAACACCTGCTTTTGTACATCCTTCACAACAATGGATATGATCAGTCTTCTGAAGTTTCGCTGTCCGGTTTCAGAAAAACAGTGGGTTTTGTTTTTTTTTGTTTATTTATTTATTTATTTATTTATTTATTTATTTATTTATTTATTTTAATGTATTGATTTGCAATGGGACTAAGCATCTCCAGGGTTAACTGGCCATTTGTTCTTTTTTACTCTGCAGTGACTGTTTATGACTTGTCCCTTTTCTGCTATGTTCTTGTCTTTGTCTTATTGATTTATAGGAGCTCATCTATGGTGATAGCAACCTTTGTCTGCTATTCTGTGTCAGTCTTGAGAAGGACTTCACCAACCACTATGTTCCCACCCTCTCTTGTCTGGTACTTTTATGGATTTTTGTTTATAGGTTTTTTTTTTAATAAAGTGAGAGGAAAGATGGATGCAGGCTTCTTTTTTTTTTTTAAGATTTATTTATTCATTATGTATACAGTGTTCTGCATGTCAGAAGAGGGCACCAGATCTTACTACAGATGGTTGTGAGCTACCATATGGTTGCTGGGAATTGAACTCAGGACCTCTGGAACAGCAGGCAGTGTTCTTAACCGCTGAGCCATCTCTCCAGCCCTGTTTATAGGTTTATATCCCTGATTCATATGGAATTTAGTGACTATATGTAATAGATATCTATTTTACACAGATGGTTACAAAGAAAAGAAGAGAAAATATATAAACTGGGAATGGTGACACATGCCTTCAATCCCAGCACTCAGGAGTTTGAAGCCAGCCTGGTCTACATAGCGAGCTCTAGGACAGCCAGGGTTACATAGAGAAACCATGTTTCAAAAAAAAAAAGAGAAAGGAAGGAAGGAAGGAAGGAAGGAAGAAAGAAAGAAAGAAAGAAAGAAAGAAAGAAAGAAAGAAAGAAAAGGGGGAGGGAGAGGGAGAGATTAAGAAAAATAAATGTTAAACTTTGTTTATTAGAACCCATTTAGAACATTTGGTCTGATTTTTTTTTTTTTTCCATTGCATACAGAGAGGAAATCAATACCCAGAAAGAGACTCCTTTTAGCTTAGGCTTTTCAGATGACTTGTTCCTAGCTCCTTGGGAGTCTAAGGCAGGAGAGTTGCTCAAACCCAGGAGTTTGAGGCTAGCCTGGGCAACATAGGAGATACCCACACACCTAGCCTCCTGAAAATGAGAGAGAGAGAGAGAGAGAGAGAGAGAGAGAGAAAATTGTGTAAATAAATGGTGAGTTCTTTGACATTGTAGTATTGGAGGTCAGACTCAGGTCAGTAAGCACTTTGCCACTGAGCTCTACTCCCAGCCCAAAGCAGCAAAGAGCAATTATTTTGTTTTTGTTGTTTTTGCTTTTGAAACAGGGTTTCTCTGTGTAGCCATGACAGTCCTGGAACTTGCCCTGTAGACTTTAAACTCAGAGATCTGCCTGCCCCTTTTTTCCAAGTCCTTGGATTAAAGGTGTATGCTACTACTGGGAAGTTGATATTTTAAAAGAATTAATTAGATATTTATGTATTATTATGTGTGTGCCTGCCATAGCATGCATGTGGAGGTCAGAGGACTACTTAGAAGAGTCGGTTCTCTCCCCTGCATCATGTGGGTCCTGGGAATTGAATTCAGGTCGTCAGACTCAACAAAGGCACATTTACCTGCAGAGGCATCTCACAGACGCACAATGGTTTTTGGTTTTTGGTTTGTTTTTTCAATAATTAAAAATTACATTTTTTTTTCATTTGGCAGGGGTGAGGTTGTGATGGGTTGTGACATGGATGTAGAGGTCAGAGGACAACTTCCATGAGTTATTTCTCTCCTTCCATCATGGGTTCCTGGGATAGAACTTAGGTCATTAGACTCAGCAGCAAAAATTTAACTGCTGAGCTATATCACAAACCCAAGAAAAATTATTATTATTATTATTTTGGTTTTCGAGGCAGGATTTCTCTGTGTAGCTTTGAAACCTGTCCTGGAACTAGCTCTTGTAGACCAGACTGGCCTCAAACTCACAGAGGTCCGCCTGCCTCTGCCTCCAGAGTGCTGGGATTAAAGGCATGAGTCACCACTGCCCGGCTGAAAATTTTTTTAATTAGTTATTTTTATGTGTATGGGCATGTGCATGCAATTGCCAAGGAGATCAGAAGAGGGCATCAGATATCCTGAAACTGGAGTTATAGATGGTTATCATTCACTATATGGATGCTAAGAATCAAACCCAGGTCTTCTATAAGAACAGCAAGTGCTCTTAACTACTGAGCCATGTCTCCAACCCCAAGAATTTTATCTTAATTGTCAGTTCTTCAAAGTGATGATATTTGCTTGGTTTGTTTTAATTCTAAAAATTGAACATGGATCTGTTACATGCTAAGCTACATCACTGATCTACATCCCCAATCTTCCCTTTCTTGTATTTAAATTTAAGATGTTTATAAGGGGCAGCATAAAAACAGGTTTTGTAGGCTCTGAAATTTAGGCAATTTAGGGGTTTTTCTTTAATACAGGAATACCAAATGATGAATATAAGATTACAAACAGACCCACAAAGCTTCAGAGCTTTGAGACTTCACCTTTCTTACTTTCACAGTAAATTCACCTCAATCTTACCATAATGCTTCTGTTACATAAAAAATGAGGAATAGTCGTTTCCATCTGTAGTGTGGTGTGGCTTTCTTTTATATTTACTGCCACAACACCAGCATTTTTCCCCTTTGTTTTTTAAATAGACGTTTAAATAGACATCAAGGTAGCTTTGATGTCGTGAGTGGAGTTAGTTCAGTGAAGAAGCTCTTTCAGCAGAATCTTCACCACCTTTGCATTGCTCAGATGGAATATATTTGATCAGTGTAGTAGCTAGGAGCTTGGTATAATTTAATAATGAGGGTCGTTAATCTTGCAAGCTTTTGAGACCTGAATTTACAACTTTAGCTTTGCATATATGCTTACTTTTGCATTAAAATTTGGTTCACAAGTGTTGAAAAGCTTGCAAATACAATTATCATGGCTTTCAGTCATCTCTATGAAGTCTTCAATAATGCAAAGGTCGCCATAATGCTCATGCTTGACGTTCACCAGGGTCCAGCACCACCCCAGAATGCTTACCTGGGTTTCTTTACAGTTTGTTCCTTGCTTTCCAGGTGAGGATGCTGTGGCTTAAGAAAGAATGCCTTGTTTAAAGACCTCTGTAGCAGGGCCTGGGGCTTAAACCTAGGGCTTTATGCATGCTAGGCTAGTGTTGTGCCACTGAGCATCATTCCCGGCCCGTTCTTTGATTTGGGATGATTCTCTGGTCTGACTTAAGTTTTCTAGAAAACAAAGGAGTACTCTTTTTAAAAAGAGAATAACTATCTGAGTTGTTTCCTCTGGAGGAGAAATGTAGATTGCAAGTCCCACTAGTTCTCAGCTCTACAGCTTTGGCTGTATCAGTTAACCTTTTGTTTCTTTGTGCAGTAGGAATGACAGAGAATATTGATAGCAGATCTTCCAAAAGCAATTTTCAGAGCCTTGAGCAAAAGTACTAAAAATATTGCCTGCGGTATTCCCTGGTCCCACCTAGCAATTGGCTCCAATTACCAGTCACTTAGAGGCATCTGTAGGTAAGGCCCTTATCACACTTTGCTAATCACAACTTTCACAGTTGCATTTTGTTGTTTCCATTCCAACGCTAATGTTTGGAAATGACTGCTTTCTTTGAGGGTTAGGAAACAAACTATTTCCATACAAATGTCACATTCTTATTAGCACATCACCCATCCATCCCTTATGGGATTTTGCAACTCTGCTCATAGATATAATCAGCTTTGTATTTTCATTCAAGGATAACAAACTGACAAGGTTGAAATCTTGTCATCAGAATTGAATTGCTCCCTGGAACTGGAAGGAGGGACCAACTGAGTTGAGCCTTGTTCAGAAATGACAATAGTCTTTAGAATCTCTATCACACGATCTCTTTTCTTTTCCTTCCAGTATGGTGACTATGACCCCTCTGTGCATAAACGAGGATTTTTAGCCCAAGAGGAATTGCTTCCAAAAAGGGTAAGAAATCAGTTTCTCTTTGGGAAAACAGCAAATGTAGCTGAATGAAAGCCTCTGAATGACTTGAAGGAGTGTTGGAAGTACAAAACAAGCTCATTTACATAGTTCATAATCTTGAAAAGACTATGGACTCTTGGTTAAGCATATTTACTTATTAGTGTGTGTTGTGTTGTGCATGCCTGTGAGTATGCAGGTGTATGAGCCCTTTCACACATGCAGAGGCCAGAGCAGGACTTCAGGTGTCTTCCTCTATTTATTCTTAGTTATGTCATGAGACAAGGTCTCTCAGCTGGAAGCTTCCATTTAAGCTAGGCTGGCCAGGCAGTGAGCATTCCAGGTCTACCTGTCTCTACCCCTCAGTGCTGTAGTTATAGGCATGTATGTACAATCGTGCCTGCCCTTTTTATGTTTTTTTTTAATGTTTTTATTTATTTTTTGAGGGTTTTTTGTTTGTTTCAAAACAGGGTTTCTTTGTGTAATCGCCTTGGCTGTCCTGGAACTTGCTCTGTAGATCAGGCTGTTCTGGAACTCACAGAGTTCCTCTGCCTCTGCCTCCTGAGTGCTGGTACTAAAGGCATGTACCACCACCACCCAGCTATTCCTTTAATTTTTTGCTTTTGTTTTTTGGGACAGGGTTTTTCCATGTAACAGCCCTGGCTGTCCTGGAACTTATTTTTGTAGACTAGGCTGTCCTTGAACTCACTGGAATCCACCTGCCTCTGCCTGGAATTAAAGGTGTGCACCACCACCACCACCCAGCTCCTTGAGGATTTTATGCAATATATTTTGATCATATTCTTTCTCCTCCTCCACCTCCTACTATATCCCTCCACTTCCCTGTACACCCAACTTTATGTTCTTCTCTCTCTTAAAACAACAACAGAAACCACTAAAAGTAGTGGATTCCAATTTGTGTTAGCCATCTACTCCTGAGTGTGCTGCCTCGGGTGTGGTCATTCTACTTGAAGAAAATTGATTTTCCTTCTCCCAAGAGCTATCAATTCCTAATATTACTGGGGATTCACACTCAAGTCCACATGTTTGCAGAGCAAGCACTTTTACCTACGGAGCTTTCTTTCTAGCTCCTATTTTTATTTTTTGAGATAGGCCCTTGTTCTGTGGTCCAGGCTGGTCTTGAACTCACTACCCTCTTGCCTCAGTCTCCCGAGTACTAGAATTACAGGTGTATATATACCGAGTATAGAATTACAGTGTAATATATATCACTGCACTTGATCGAGCATATGAAAAGCAAAAGATGTTGCTGCACATATGGTTCATGCCTGAACTCCCAGTAGTTAAGAGGCAGAGAGAGGCAAGAGAATCATAAGGTTAAGGCCAGCTTGAACTACAGAGTGAGATTCAGTCTCAAAATGAGAAAATGCAAGAGCTTGTGGAATTAATGTCGAATTGCTAGGAAGTGTGTGGCAGGTAGATTATTTTTCTGGTGTGGCAATTTCTAAAGGTGGTTGAGTGGCATTGACTTAAAGGAGCCTTGAGATCTTGTGTTCTCTGTGCAGAATTGAGCTGTTTGGGATGGAGAAGATGAGGTGGAGGGGCTTTTAATCCTCTTGTTCCTCTTACTCATTAGACACAGAAGCAGCCTTTGGCTGTTTCCCTTCTTATAGCCCTGCTTATCATCTGTCACTGGGTAATAAAGGCTTTCCCCAACCATTCCCTGCCTTTACCTATCCTTTGATGGCTTCTCTGCAGTTGAAGGCCAGCATAAGTAAGCACTGCTTTACTGTCAGAGGTGGTCCCTGAGATGAACACCCTGGCAGCCCAGGAGTGCAGTTAGGATTGAGGAATGCTGCAGCCTGCAGGTTGCTCCTCCAGTGGAATGGTGCTTGTGTATACACCCACCTCTGTGTGTGACTCTCCCTGCATGCAGCTTTTTAAAAATAGCCTTGCTGTTTTGTAAAAATGAACCATAATTATAAAAATGGCAAACAATATCCAGACTTGCTTTGCATGTGGATTTTCTCTTGCTGTCTTTTTGGTAGGTGATAAATCTATATCAGATGACTCCGGAAATGTGGGAGGAGAGAATTACTGCTTGGTACGCGGAGCACCGGGGCAGAGCCAGGTAAAGCTGCTTCATCCTTGTTTACATTTCTTCATACCTCCCCCCCCCCCCCCCCCCCCCCCCCCCTCCCCCCCCCCCCCCCCCCCCCCGTAAAGAACTATAAAACTAGGACATGCTTGTAGGACAGAATGCAGTCCTGAAGTATATGGAAGGAAAAGCGAGAACTGGGAGTAGTGTTGGTCCTCAGTTTCATGTGCATCCTTGTTGTTGTGCTATAAAAATGGCATATGACCATCTGGGCATGTAGCTCAGCAGTAGAGTGCTTGCCGAGAATGTGTAAGACTCTGGGTTGAAAACCAAATTTATAAATTAATTAATTAAAAGTGGTCTTGTGCTCTGCCTATCAGGATATCCAAGTCTGATACATTCACTGGCAGTTTAGTTTAACATTCTGTCTGAAGGCCCTTTTTTTATATTCAGGCCTACATTGATGGCATTTATAATATCTGACTGCTTTTCACTTTTACTCTGCAATGTATAATTTTATGTTGTTACATAATTGCATAGACTTGAGGGTAGATTCTTGGAGGAGAGTTAGTGATCAAAGACATGAACATTTTGTGTTTTGATAGATGAAACTACATTACTTTCTAAATAATTGTAATCGGGCAGTGGTGGCGCTCGCCTTTAATCCCAGCACTCTGGAGGCAGAGGCAGGTGGAGCTCTGAGTTTGAGACCAGCCTGGTCTACAGAGTGAGTTCCAGGATAGCCATAACTATTAACACAGCGAAACCCTGTCTTAAAAAACATACAAACAGACAAAATAATAATATGAATAAATAAAAATTTGTGCCTTTTGGCATATGTCCATCACCAGTGTTAGTAAAATGTTACCACTACCTTAGGTTTCTTTCAATATTTTTTATTCAACCTACAATTTTACTAAATTAAAATTAAAACACAAAAATTTGTAGTTTGTTGTAAGTATTCCTTTGGTAGCTTTAGATGTTGATCATCTTTGTGTTAGCCCCCACCCTAATCCTTCAAATCAGCTTCCTACAATATTTTTTGTTTGTTGTGTCTTTATGGATGTTTCCCTATATGTTTGTCACTGTACCGTGCCTGGTGTGCATGTCTGGTGCCTAAGGATGCCAGAAGGTGGCACCAGAAGTGGAGTTACAGATGGCTTCAGGGCACTATGGGTGCTACTAATTAAACGTGGGTCCCCTGGAAGAGTAGACAATGCTCTTAACTACTGAGGTATCTCTTTTGTTTATACCCACAAAATGGACAGATCATAAGTATACTGTTTGATCATTTATCACAAAAAGATAAGAAATAGCCCATGACTTTCTCCCCAGAGATAACTAGTTTTCCAGTTTCTTTTCTTTTCTTTTCTTTTTCTTTTTAATGGTCAAAGTCTTACTATGTAGCTCTTGCAGTCCCAGAACTTGCTATGTATTTCAGGCTGGCCAACACTCACAGAAGTCCACCTGCCTCTACTCAGTGTTGAAATTAAAGGCTTGTGCCATCACATCTAATTCAGTTTCCCAATTTCTAATTAGTGTTCCCATAGACTGGTGTTGCCCATTGATTTTTTTTTTTAATTTACCATTGTTATATTATGAGTCTGTAGTGCTGAGAGATCAAGTACAAGGTCTCTCATATGCTGGGCAGCTGACCATTCTATCACTGAGCTGCATCTTTAGTCCACCATCATCCATTTTAAACTTTAGATAAATGCACCAATTTCTATATTAAGTGGTTTTTTTCTCAAGATCATCGTGTGAGATTTGAGTACATGGCATGTAGCAATAATTTTCCAATTTTCATGGCTGTGCAGAATTCCAGTATATTAGTATAACAGATTATTTATCCATTCTACTGTTGAAGGACTCTTGAGTTGTTGGGTTGTTTCTTGGTTTTTGCTGTTATAGGTAATGTTGAATAGTTTCCCGAAGTAATTGAATCAATTTACATCAGCAGTGTGTGTGATTTCTGGTTCTTCCACCTGCTTGCCAACACTTGGCGTTCTCTCAGGGTGAATTTTTAAAATCCATCTGAGAGCATTTTGAGATGAGAGAGAGAGAGAAGGACAAGGACAAGGTCATAGGGAAGCTTGAGTTGAATTACTTCAATACATTTAACTATTGGGGAGTTTTCTGCAAGTCACTGCTGCTTCAGAGCTTGCTTTAAGTTTGAGTTATAACACAAAATATTCATCCACTGTCCTGGGTTTCATGGCTCAGATAATTCTTGCCTTAACCTTCAACAGTAACCCCTTTGTCTCTTAGCCCCAAGAGACAAAGTCAGGAAAGTAGAAGCTGTCATAGTGTGTAGAAAAGCTTGTTCACTCCTAAAACCTCTGGGTTAAGAAAGTGCACAGAGATAAGGCAACAGCTTAAATAATTCATCTGAGGTTGAAAATAACACACCATGGTTTTGGTTTTTCTTTTTACTATTACAAGGGATGAAACTCAGCTGTACACGTGCTAAGTGAGTGCTGTACCACTAAGCTACACTCCCAACCCCCACATTCTTTTTTTTTAATCACTTGAGACAGATGCCACTATTTACCAAGGGCAGAGTGTGAAATTGAAGCCAAGAGACAGTGTAATGAGTCTGTTTTCTTATTTTCACGGGGATGGGAAATTCTGCTGCTTGTGTTTAATAGACTCTGGATTGGGAAAAGCTCTGCTGGTGTCTGGTCTGTCTCCTATCTTCTGCAGGTGTCGTAAATCCATAGGATAAGCATGCTGAGAGTACTTGGCTTGGCGAGTGTCTGTCCTCCACCCTTGTCACTTAGCCCCAGTGACCGTGTTCTTCCATTCTCCTTACAGGGATGAAGCTGAAATGGAGTATTTGAAGATAGCGCAGGACCTGGAGATGTATGGGGTGAACTACTTTGCAATCCGGGTGTGTTGACTCCTCCCCAAGTTTCCTGGCTACCAGATAGACTGAGCCAGGGCCACATAGTCCAGTGGGTTGCTTCCTCATTCCAGGATAGTTAGAGTCTTTTATGGTTCAGGAGTAAAGAAGAAAAGAGAAAGACAGGGATCTAGAGCCTCCTCTTTTATTTGGGGACTTCAAATTAGATCAGAGGTAATTGCCAGTGGTACATTCTGGGACGTAGGCCTGGTTCTCTTCAGCGAAATTTGTTGGAATGCTGACCATGTAATATTTGATAATTCTGGCCTCTTGTGAGATCCAAGGAGCACCTGGAAATAGTATCTTTCCCTGGGGCCCACGGAAAGTAAGGTTTGCTCTTACAGATTCCTGGTTTGTTTGGGTGGAACTCTTATTCTCACTGTGAGGCTAATTAGTTTTCTGTTCAGACCATTAATGGTCCCCAGGCCTCTGGGAACCAGTGCTTCTGCAGAGAAAGGCATTTGTGTTCTGCTCAGATGTGGCCCTAGAGTATGCATTTCTCCTGTTGTGGGTTTTTTCTGGTTGCAGTGTATCTATCCATGGCTTCTTCCAACAGAGTCCATGCTGTATACCCAAGCTTTTCTTCCCTGGTGGATGAGTGGTTGTTAAGATGGCCACAGATGAGTAGATCACCTGCAGTCATCTTCTGCCTTTCTGATTCCAGTTAATCTTTGCTTTCCTTTTTCAGGTTCCTACATCTTTATGTTAACTTGGAGTAAATGGAATTAAGCACATCTCCAGTATAACTTTCTACTTAATTTGTTTTCTAAATACAGGGTTTGTGGATTTCATTGCATAAAAAACAAAACAGGGCACACTGAAATGTTCTGCTGTAATAAGCAGGTGCCTAAAAAGATATTTATAGGAATGCAGAAGGTTGCAGGGGCTGGAACAATGGCTCCGTAGTCGAGAGCACATCCTGCTTTTGCATCAGGACCTGAGTTCAGTTACCAGCTCCCAGTTTGGGAGGCTCACATTGCCTGAAACTTCAATTCCAGAGTGAATTTGATGCCTCTGGCCTCCAAGGGCACCTGCAGTTATGTGCACAGACATATAAATATGTAACTAAAAATAATAAGAACAAATCTTTTTTTTTTTTTGAGAGGTAAATCTTTTTTTTAAGATTTATTTATTTATTATATATTTAGCATTTCTTCCATGTATACCTGCAGGCCAGAAGGGGGCACCAGATCTCATTATAGATGGCTGTGAGCCACCATGTGGTTGCTGGGAGTTGAACTCAGGACCTCTGGAAGAGCAGTCAATGCTCTTAACCACTGAGCCATCTCTCCAGCCCAATAAGAACAAATCTTAAAAAAATAAAAAAGAATATAGAAGGTTGTTTCTAATGTTTCATGAGTAGTAGATGAGGCACTTGCTGCCTGGCCTGATATCCTGACTTCAATCCATGGAATCTACATGGTCAAAGCAGAGAACTGATTCCTGTACATTGTCCTGAGAGCTTCACATGTGTGCTGTAGCATAAACATACATGCACAGACTCAACATATATAAGTAAATAAATATTAAATAATTAAAAGATTCATTCATTTCTACATAACATCCACTTCTTTGAGGTTAGGCCAGTTTAGTAGGTTTCTGTGGTTTTGTCAACCCACCTAACTTCCGTTACCTACCACCACTATTAATTGTATTTAAAAAAGAAAGAAAGAAAAGAAGAAAGGAAGAAAGAAAACATTTTGCAGTCCTTAAAAACCTCTTAGGGCTGGGCAATGATGGCACATGCCTTTAATCCTAGCACTTTGGAGGCAGAGGCAGGTGGATCTCCATGAGTTTGAGGCCAGCCTATTCTACAGAGCAAGTTCCAGGACAGGCTCCAAAACTACAGAGAAACCCTGTCTCGAAAAAACAAGAACAAAAAACAAAACCCTCTTAGGCTAGACAGTGATGGTGAACACCTTTAATCCCAGCATTTGGAAGGCAAAGGTAGGTGGATCTCTGAGTCTGAGGCCAGCCTGGTCTACAGAGTGAGTTCCAGGACAGCCAGGGCAACACAGAGAAACAACCCATCTCAAAAATAAAATAAAACAAAACAAACAAAAGCCAAAAAAACACTAATGTTCCTTATAAATTTATTTTACTTAGAAGAAAAAAATCATATATATATATTTTTTTCATTTGTTTATCTATTTATTCCTGGTGGTGAGCAGAGGATCATATGCTAGAGTTTTCTTTTACCATGTGGGTTCTGGGAGGTCAAACTCAGGTCATCAGGTGTGGCAGTAAGCAGTTTGACTCACTAAGCTACTCAGCAGTCTCCAAACCAGCTGCTGCTTCTTCATAGGGATATTTCTACATGAATCAGATGAGCATGAACTACTTTTTGTTTGTTTTTTATGTTGAACAATAGACAAAGTTAAAGACATTTTAGTAGTTTTATGTTAGAGATCTTAAATTCTATCATTAGGAAAGACAAATGCTTAAAACATTTTATTTTAACTGATAATTAGGTATTTGAACATATTAATGGGGTACTAGGTGATTAAAACAATCTCAGAGGAGTTATTATGCTACCCTCTCTAGTCTCTAGGAGTGTTATAGTCATAATGATAACAAAAGGTGGAATCCTTTCTTTTTTTATTTAAATCATCAGAAACATAAAGAAATATCTTATTTTCCAAAACGGGGTACAGATGTAAGAACACAAGTCTCACTTCTGTTAGCACATCACTTTGAAAAGCTTTGCAGACAAGAACACTCTTGTGCCTGGGTGGCAGTGCCTGGTTTCAGGTGTTAGAACGAGTAGAGAGATTTATCTTAGAGCGCACACCTCCCCATCCAACACCTGCTGTTAGATTGGTACTTCTCATCACAGCCCAAGCACCTTCTCAGTGTGCAGATCTGCTGTCCTACCCTTGAGTCTTGGCTCAGTTTCCTTACTGTCAGCAAGGAGTCAGGAGCTATAGTGTCCTTGTGTGTGCAGGGAGTTTCTTTCCACTACAAAGGCTAAACAACACTGGCAAATTGGTCTGCCTATGAGGATGGAGCCAGTGGCTCCATAGTGGGGTCAGTAACATGGAACACAGGGCACTAAGCCTCTGGTTGTACTACTAACTGCTGCCCAGGAGTCCTCTCAGAGATACAGCATTTTTATAACTAACTGGTATTTTAAACAGCTTCATTGAAGTATAATTTGTACACATTTCTTCCAACATTATCAGGCATTTGAAACATATGGGAAAATTAAGTTTTCAATGAATGCCATATATACCCACCACATAGCTACCCCCAAAATGCAATTAACGTTTTACCATATTGGGGTATAGTATAGTAAAACTACAAGACTGCATTGTAGGGCTGGAGAGATGGCTCAGTGGTTAAGAGCACTGACTGCTCTTCCAGAGGACCCAGGTTCAATTCCCAGCACCCACATGGCAGCTTGCAACTGTCTGAAGATCCAGTTGCAGGGGATCTGACACCTTCACACCAATGCACATAAAATAAAGTTAAATAAACCATAAAAAAAAGACTGCATTGTAATCTAAAATAAAACCATCTAGTTTCTAGACTGAAGTTTTTCCTTCTAGCCATCCAGCAACTTTTATGTGTGTGATGATGATCAAAGCTAGGGCTTTGTATGTGCCAGGCAAGAACATTGCCACAAAGTAACAGTGGCACCATGAAGCTACCATTTCCTATAATGGGAGAAATGTTCAAACATGTGGATTTTGGCCCTCCTCTGATAATCTGGTTATTTAAGTAGTATTCACAACATTTAAATTACCATTTCTTCAACCACCAAGCCAGTGACAAGAGCCTGAGTCCACAGTGACTCAAGGGACACACCAGTCACAAAAATGGTATTGTTTTGCCTCTGCTTCCCTAAATCCAGAAGCTGGAAGCCTCCTGGGTTACAAGAGAGCTGTGGTTTCTGTTGAGACTTGTTGAAACTTGTCAAATATAACAATGTATGCCAAATTCTTTAGAAAGTTGACTAAAATCCCTAGCTGGAAGCTGACAACAGCTGCTCTTTATTGGCTCTGCAGAATAAAAAGGGCACAGAGTTGCTGCTTGGTGTGGATGCTCTGGGGCTTCATATCTATGACCCCGAGAACAGGCTGACCCCCAAGATCTCCTTCCCGTGGAATGAAATCCGAAACATTTCCTACAGCGACAAAGAGGTAGGACATGTCTATACTGCAGGTGCCACTTGTGGTACATTGGTCCTGCAAAAGGTCCTTTCCTGTTTCTCCTCTTTGCCAAAGCTCCCAATACAGGCCATCTCCTTGTCAGTAAAAGTCTTTTAATTCCCAGGCTTTAGAACTTTGGTTGTTGATTTTTAAAATACTTACGGAATGGTTTTGGCATCCCTTCTTCAAAGGGCATGGCTAAAGCCCACTATTGACTAACAGGAGAGTGAGCAGCTCAACTTGTCAAGACTAAACCCCAAAGAACAGAAGAAGGAAAAAGGAACATTTCTGTAACTTGACTTTCTATTTCTTTGTATTTTAAGTGTGATCTATGTTAAGCTTCTCTATGTACTGTGATTGATACATGTAGTGGAAAAGTGCGTGAGAGAGGGGGGAGAGACAGAGAGAGAAAGCGCATATTGGAGGGGGGGGGTTCTTTGTCTTAATTTTTAACAGGGTTTCATTGTGTAGTCCTGGCTGACTTTGAATTTGATATTTAGACCAGTAGACCAGGCCAGCCTTAAACTCTCAGAGATCTGCCTCTGTTTCCTGAATGTTGGGATTAAAGGCGTGAACCACCATGCCAGGTTGACAGTTATATATTTTGTTTTTGTCAAGAGGTCTATTTATTAGTCAAGATTCTCTAAAGAAACAGAACAGATAGGATGAATATGTATATTAAAAGGGTATTCATTAGATTGGCTTGCAGCCTGCAATCCAAGTAGTCCAACAATGGCCATCTCACTGGAGAGACTGAGAATCCAGAAGTTGTTCAGTTCACAAGGCTAGATGTCTCTGCAGTCTTGATGTGTGCTGAAGGCCTGGGGGATTCCTGAAGAACTTCTGGTTTTAGTCTGTGTTGTAATCCCATTGAAGTCAGCTCTAATATTGGTAAAGGAATGCTGTAGCACCAGGATATATAAACTTGCTAGCAAGAGTGAGAGTAAGCAGGCAAAAGCAAAGTTTCTTTATTCTGTGTCCTTTTATGTGGGTTACCATCAGAAAAAAATGGTCCAGATTTAGGGTGGGTCTTCCTGCTTCCTAATCTGGTTAAGAAAATCCCTCATGCCTTTAATCCCAGCATTTGGGAGGTAGAGGCAAGTGGATCTCTATGAGTTTGAGGCCAGCTTTGTCTACAAAGTAAGTTTTAGTGTAGATAGAACTGTTACACAGAGAAACCCTGTCTGGAAAAACCACACAAACCAAACAAAACAAAAAATAAAAGGGAAAAAGGAAAAAAGAAAAGCCCTCACTGGAGTATCTAGCAGCTTGGGTTTTAATTGATTCCTTGATTCTAGGTGCAGTCTCAAATTGACAACCAAGATTAGCCATCAGTGGGTATTTCTCTCTGCAGTAACAGGAGTGAAGATAGCAGGCTACCATCCATATTTAGAAGGGTTAAGGGATATAGTTTAAGGAATTTAGATAACATTCATTAGGTTCAAATATTTTTGTGTAGCCCAAAATGACTTGAACTGACAGCAATATTCCTGCCTCAGCCTCCTAAATTCTGAGATTACAGGCATATGCCCAGAGTAGATTCACATATTTCTATATAGGATGATGGCTTTTCAAATGCAGCAGTCCTATGTTTTATGTATTCATTAGTATTTCTTTAATTTTTACTATACGGTACTGGGGATCAAACCCAGAGCCTTGCACATGCAAGACTTTTGCTGTCCTACTGAGCATTACCCTGGCTTCCTATTCATTAATTTTAAAGGAATTATTAAACATCTGCTTTATGCCAGAGAGCAAACAGAAATGAGGAAAGTCCAGCATTAGCCCTCCAGTCAGTAATGGCTTGACTGCTCTAGAACATAAAATACAATGTGGGGGCCGGGCGATGGTAGCGCTCGCCTTTAATCCCAGCACTCAGGAGGCAGAGGCAGGCGATCTCTGTGAGTTCGAGACCAGCCTGGTCTACAGAGCTAGTTCCAGGACAGGCTCCAAAGCCACAGAGAAACCCTGTCTCGAAAAACAACAACAAAAAAAAAAAAACAAAAAAACAAAAAATACAATGTGGCTGCTCAGTTGGCTCAGTGAGTAAAGGTACTTGCTATCAAGCCGAACTACCTACTTCAATTCCTAAGACCCACATGGTGGAAAAAAAAAAAGAACTAACTTATACAGGTTGTCTCTGACCTTCACACATCTGCCTGGGCACGTACTCCACCCTTCTATAAGTAAGTAAGTAAATAAATAAATAAATAAATGAGTAAAGTGGGAGGAGCTGACGTTGTTGTTGTGAGGGCCTCTATTACACGTGCATTAACTCTGGCTGTCTGATCAAGTTCTCAGAAGAAATTACTGTAAAGGCAGGGATATGTTTGATATCCATGTCACCAGAAAACAGGTACATTGAGATCTTGTGTCTGATGGGTAGAGTGGCAAGGCCTGGGAACCAGAGTGGTTTCTGCTTATCGGGGAGTTCCAGAGACGGACCCTGAAAACACAAGACACCAGGCAGGAGCAGGCAGCCTGGCCTGTGCATGTCCACACAGAGTAGGCCATGAGTGACAGTGATGTTTCATGTTGTCTGCAGGTCTTGGAGCAAATTTCTTTCTTTTTTAGCAGCTCAAGGAAAGCAATTCTAGGCCCTTGTTTCCAGTCTGTGGTTTAGATTATTCAACCATGCTTGCTGAAGCAAATTGAACTTGCCTCTCTTCTTCCTCCTCCCTTCCTCTCCCTCTATTTCTGTCTTTCAGACAGGGTCTTTCTGCATAGCCTGGAACTTAGCAGTCCTCTTGTCTCAACACCTCTAAATGCTGGTGTTATGGTTAGGCATTATCACACCAAACTCAAAGTGAGCTGCTTGTTTTACATTTATCTATTTACTTATTGAAGGAAGGGGGTGTGGTATGTGCCAGGGTGAGTGTATAGAATTCAGGGGACAACGTGTTAGGCGTCGTTTCTCTCCCTTACCATGTTGGTGCCAGCGGTCACACTCTTTTTTTTTTTTTTTTTTTTTTTTTTTTTTTGGTCGAGTAACAGCCCTGGGTCTCCTGGAACTCACTTTGTTGACCAGGTTGGCCTCACAGAGATCCACTTGCTCCTGCCTTCTGAGTACTGGGATTAAAGGTGTGCACTACCACTGCCTGGTCACATTCCATTCTTAAGGTTTGGTAACAATCCCCTTTATTTACTTGTTGAGCCATTTGCCAGGCCAATTGCATTTCTTCATCTAAACATTCTGACAGTTGGTTTTGTGGCTGGTTGTCCTGAAAAGTGAACATTAGGTAGTTGTTTGTTTGTTTTCAGGTTCTTAAATTGGAATCTCAACGTGACTTAAAGTAGTCAGTGCCTCCCACTTTCACTAATGGTTCCTCAAATACTTGTTTTTCAGAGCTCAAGGATTAAGGTCCCCTAGTATACTCTGTGACACAACCAACTCTAACGGGCCCTCTCAGGGCCATCATGTTCTATCATATCAGTATCTTGCACAGCAAGCAGACTCCAAGCTACTTGGGCATGCCTTAATGGGACTTATGGATAGCAGTCATCCTGCTAAAACAGTTAGTGATTCTTCGTATGTGGCCTGACGTGACAGAGAGCCTGTCTGTGGTTTCCGTACTTTTTGTGACTTCCCACTCACAGCTCTAGGGTTCATTAGCAAGGCTACGCTTATGAAATTCATAAATAATATTCTACACCAGAACAATACTATGACTAAATTAACTTGTCCAAAGTCTAAACAAAGAATTTTTTGTCATCATTCTATGTGTGCTCATTTCTTATTGGACAATAGAAACATGTAAAGAAATGTCCAAGAATTTGCCTTCCTCGACAAGTTTATTTGCTAAGCAACTCATTTTTTTGTTCCATTTTCTGTTTTATATTTAGTAGTCCTGAGAATGGAAACCACATGCAGGCAAGACCTGTATATCTGGCTCAATCATTTTTTTAAATTTTTTCTGGCTTTGCTAGGGGTGGCTGTACAAGTCTTTCTTGGGAATGTGTGTGTACTTTTACAATATTTATTAGCATATGCTAATTGTACAAAGTAATGGGTGTCAGGAAGGCATTTTCATATGTGCGTATAAAATATATTTGATCTTGGGCTGGAGAGATGGCTCAGCGGTTAAGAGCATTGCCTGCTCTTCCAAAGGTCCTGAGTTCAATTCCCGGCAACCACATGGTGGCCCACAACCATCTGTAATGAGGTCTGGTGCCCTCTTCTGGCCTGCAGATATACACACAGACAGAATATTGTATACATAATAAATACATAAATATTTTAAAAATATATTTGATCTATATGCTTTTTTTAAAAAAAGATTTATTATGTATAGTGTTCTGCCTGATGTATGTCTGTAGGCCATAAGAGGGCACCAGATTTTATTATAGATGGTTGTGAGCCACCATGTGGTTATAGGAATTGAACTCAGGACTTCTAGAAGGGCAGCCAGTGCTCTTAAGCTCTGAGCCATCTCTCCAGCCCCTTGTTTTGGTTTTGAAGCAGGTCTATGTTGTCCTGGTTGGCCTGGAACTCTTTATATAGAACAGATTGGCTTCGAACATATGATCTTCCTCCATGAGAGCCAGTATGGCAGGTGTGTGTTATCATGTTCAGCTGAGAGTTACATTTCCAGGGGCATTCTAGGAATCTGGGAGCTCTCTGGTCTCCTCAGTGGTTCAGAGTAGCAGTTGACGTGTGTGTGTGTCTATGTCTCTGTATGTCTGTGTGTTTTAAGTTTCTCTTTCTAAGTTGTCAAAATCCTTTTGATTTCAGGAACTGTATTTTTCTCTTTTATAGCAATCTATTTTTCTTCAGACTGTATTTCTTCTCTTAGCATCTTTTACCTACTGACCATGTTCAGAAACCCATAGTAACTTGCTGTATTAAGTGTCACCTATACCAAGCTTTCTTTTTTGGGTCACCAACCAGCTCCCAAATCATGACACGGAGATTTATTATTAGATATGAATGCTTGACCTAGCTTACACTCATTTCTGGCCAGCTCTTTTAATTTAAATTAACTTGTTCTTCTTTTCTACCTCCTTTGCTCCTCGTCTCTTCTCAACCTAGATTTCTCCTCCTATTTATTCTCTCTGCTTGCCAGCTTTGCCCCTCTCCTGCCTGACTATTGGCCATTCAGCTTTTTAGTAGATCAATCGGATGCCTTAGGCCAGCAATGTGAAACAGCAACACGTCTTTTAATAATTAAACAAATGCCGCAGAAACAAATGTACACACCTTCTCAGTTAAATACTCCACAGCATGAGCAAATGTAACACATCTTTGTCCAGTTAAAATAATATTCCACAACAGTCACCCCCTCTGAGGTTTTTCTTCTTCACCACCTATCAGCATCCCTATCCACCTAAGCCTGCTGTATCAGTGCAAATTACTAAAGAGCTAATATGGTCAGTATCCTGCTCACCATCCCCTCCTCTTCTAATTTTCAGTGCTAGATACTGAATTTATTCTTATTACTTGACTTGTCTAGAATGCCCCTCCACCCTATATTAGCTATTCTGCCATATACTTCTAAGACCAACTGTAATGCCTCCCATTGTGCTAGATCTACTCTAAACCTCTAGGATATTTGTGACATGTCCCACCAGTGAGACACTGATATATGGTGTTATCTCTTGAGTATTTGGCTGTTGTTGGACTAAGTCCTACTAGACTGCGAACTTTATGAAGGCAAGGAGCTGTGCCAATGTGACTGGGTGCCACTGTCCGTTCCTCAGAGCTACCCAAGATGGTTAGGGTCATGAAATTCTGCAGCCCCAATCCTGGGCCTTGTATGCCTCAGACTTACCCAAGGCTTTATTCCTGGGCACCAGGAAGCCAGGACTAGAGGCGGTATAGTTGCTACTTTGTGGGTTCCCGGTTGATGTCATATGAAACTGTACTCCTTTCTTTCAGTTTACTATTAAGCCACTGGATAAGAAAATTGATGTCTTCAAATTTAACTCCTCAAAGCTTCGTGTTAATAAGCTGGTAAGTCGAGAGCCTGGTTTTCATGACAGAGAACTAACCTTTCTAAGGAATTAAATGATCTGTGTGTGTGTATGTATACACATATACATGCTTCTCTGCCAGGGAGCTGGCCCTAGTTTCTCTTGCTAAGAGCTATAAAATGATATTTGATTTGGTAAATACTTTTCTCTTTTTTTTAACCTATACAATTAACCTTTTTGAGGGGAGGGAAGGTGGGAAGTGGAGATAAAATCTGGAGCTTAGTGCATGTCAGTGCATGTCAGAAAGCATTCTGCTGAGGTACATCTCAGCTCTCCACTTGCCATGTTGATTTGCATTTTATAATTACTAATGAAGTTACATCTTTATACCTGTTGATCAAATCTAATTACCTGTTCAGTTCTTGCTTTGGGTCTTTTGGCCACTTTTCTCTTGGGTTGTTTGTTTGTTTTCTTTATTAATTATTATCCTCTTTGTGAGGCTCGTTTTCCTTCTTTATGATGTTATAGCGAGTAAACATTTTCACCTTTCATGTCGACACATAAAATACTCCGTTGTAAACTGGGTGGACAATGGTGGCACACGCCTTTAGTCCCAGCATATGAGAGGCAAAGGCAGGTGGATCTCACGCGGATCTCAGTGAGTTTGAGGTCATCCTGGTTTACAAAACGAGTTCCAGGACACCAGGACTACACAGAGAAACCCTGTCTCGAACCTCCCTCCTCAAAAAAAAAAAACAAAAAAAAAAACCTCGATCATTTGTTCTGTGTTTTCTTACTTGACGTCTTATCTTGATTTAAAAAAATACTCTGTAGGGGGCTGGAGAGATGGCTCAGTGGTTAAGAGCACTGCCTGCTCTTCCAGAGGTCCTGAGTTCAATTCCTGGCAACCACATGGTGGCTCACAACCATCTGTAAAGAGGTCTGGTGCCCTGTTCTGGCCTGCAGACATGCACACAGACAGAATATTGTATACATAATAAATAAATATTAAAAAATACTCTGTATTTTCAAATAAAAGTTACTTTTGAAACTGGAATCAGCTTTTTGGTATGAGGGAGAAAACCAGCTTATTTCTTTCCATATAAATAACCTTTGACACAACCCAATCCTGGCTGATGGTCCCTGATCTGCCATCTGTCTTGCCACATCCTGACTAGGACACTGTGGTGATGAATGGAGCATCCTCTATTCACTGTGTATGCTCCCAGAACTGAGAACGCGGCTTTTGTGTTTTATTCCATCCTTTCTTCCTCAGATTGTAGCTGTGCCATGGTGGGCTGGTAGACAGCAAAGTAAATTTGTTTGTTTGTTTGTTTGTTTTTTGGGGTTTTTTTTTTTGGTTTTTTGTTTTTTGAGACAGGGTTTCTCTGTAGCTTTTGGAGCCTGTCCTGGAACCAGCTCTTATAGACCAGTCTGGCCTCAAATTCACATAGATCCACCTGCTTCTGCCTCTCAAGTGCTGGGATTAAAGGCATGCGCCACCACCACCCAGCTAAATGGCATTTTTATTTATTTATTTGGTTGGTTGGTTGGTTGGTTGGTTTAGTTTTTAGAGACAGGGTTTCTCTGTAGTTTTGAAGCCTGTCCTGGAACTAGCTCTTATAGACCATTCTGGCCTCAAACTCACAGAAATCTGCCTACCTCTGCCTCCCGAGTGCTGTGCAAAGTAAATTTATATACTTACCATATTTCCTCCTATTTCTGTGCCATAGATTCTCCAGCTATGTATTGGGAACCACGACCTATTTATGAGGAGAAGGAAGGCTGACTCTTTAGAAGTTCAGCAGATGAAAGCCCAGGCCCGGGAGGAGAAGGCTAGGAAGCAGGTGAGTAAGACTTCAGGTTTTCTTTCATTTGGTTTGTGTATATATGTATTTGTGCACTTGATTTTGTAGGTCAAAGGTCAAACTTGGGTATTATTCCTCAGGAACATCTACTTTATCTTTTGAGGCAAAGTCTCTTAGTGGCCAGGGACTTACTGATAAAGCTAAGCCAGCAAGCCCTAGGGCTCTGGCTGTTTCTACATTCCTAGTATGCTACCACTATGCCTGACCTTTTTTGTGAGTGCTAGGGCTCAAACCCAGGTATAGCAAGTACTTTTCTAAAACTGAGTTATCCCTCCAGTCTCAATCTTCTTTGTTTAAGGCACATTCTTACTATGTAGTCCTGGCTGGCCTGGGACACTCTGTGGAGCCAAGTCAGGCCTCAAACGCAAGACAGTTTTCTTGCCTCAGCCTCCCTAATTCTGGGATCACGGACATGCCACTATGCCCAGCTAAGACACGGTTTTAGGGCTAGCAAGGTGGTTCATCAAGGAAAAGTACTTGCTGTGCAAACCTGACGTTGTTCATGTGATATCTGAAACCTATGGAAAGATGGAAAGAGAGCAGACTCCGCAGAGTTGTCCTCTGACATCCACACATGCACCATAGGACATGTGCCACAAACTTCGTGTTCTCATTCATACACATTAATGAATAATAATCATTAAAGATCTTGTGTTGTTTTGATTTGGTTTAGTTTTCTTTTTTTTTTTTTTTTTTTTTTCTCTTCGAGATAGGGTTTCTCTGTGGCTTTGGAGCCTGTTCTGGAACTAGCTCTGTAGACCAGGCTGGTCTCGAACTCACAGATCCGCCTGCCTCTGCCTCCCGAGTGCTGGGATTAAAGGCGTGCGCCACCACCGCCCGGCTTGTTTTTTGTTTTTTTGAGATGGGTTTTTCTGTGTAACTGCTCTGGCTGTCCTAGAACTTCCTCTGTAGGCCAGACTGGCCTCAAACTCACAGAGCTGCCTGCCTCTGCCTCCTGAGTTCTGGGATTAAAGGTGTGTGCCACTACCACCCGACCTAAAGACCTTGTTTTAATTGATGATATTACTTTTGGTCAGTCTCAGCCCACGGGATAAAGGATGGCTGTTGTCAGCCTGATAATAGATGTACCTGTCTTATTCCATTCCTGTTGGATCTTTTTTGGCTAATGCTCAGATAATGGGTTGTCAACTATGAAACTAAGCACTTGGGCTGGCGAGATGGCTCAGTGGGTAAAGGTAATTGCCACCAAACCTGACAACCTGAGTTTGATGCCTGGCAATCACATGGTAGAAGGGGAAAACTGACTTCTACAGGTTGTTCTATGACTGTCACGTGCACACTTACATATATGAATAAAATAGACATAATAAAAATTTTAAGGGAAATTCATACTAAGTTCCAATAGCTTATCTTAAAAAAAAAAAAAAAAAAAAAAAAACAAGATCATTAGTCGTTTCTATACTTATCACAGACTTGGGACAAGGTAACCAGGCATGGTTTTGTCTCGCTGTCTGTCTAGCTGTCCTTCTCTACGTCTGTCTTCCCTGCCAAGTCAGTGCCCTTTCTAATTAGATGGTGATAGAATAGAAGACGCCATTTCAGTGCATGTTGTGGATGCTAATAAGGCTCCCGCCGCACTCCTTGCTGCAGGTCAGCTGGACACACATGGCTGGGCCTCTGCAGGAGGTGCTGGCAGCACCTATCAGCAGACTGGACTGGCTGCATTGATGTTTTCTACTCACAGACCTTCTCTGCTCACTGAAATCCACAGCTAGTTTGAGCCTTGCTGCTGAGAATTTCAATTGTGGTCTGGGACGAACTGTTTGATGGAGTAGCTACAGCTGCAGTTGGCTCCCCTCAGGACTTGCAAGCTCAGAGGTGTAATAATTAGTCTGTGTGGTGTTCTCTGGTTTGGGAACCCCAGAGAGGCTGGCTCCTAGCCCCAGGCTTTAGAGAGAAATACCCAGTGTGAGGCAGTGAGCTGTGAGCTTGCCCTCTGCTTTCTGGAACAGTAGACCATCAGTGTCTTCTTTTGGATGCTTTAGGGATAATGGTATAGGTTCTACTACGCTAACATGGAGGAGTAGTGACAACTTTAAGAAGCATACTCGTTGACCTTACTTTCAGCAGAGGAAAGTTTAGAAGTTAGAGGAGTATGACGGCCCCTGGGCCCTGGGAGGAAATAGTGCAAATGCTGCCCGGTGGAACATGGCAACCTTGCAGCTAAATCTTTTCATCTGTGTGACTCAGTTTTCTCATCTGTCAAGTGGAGCTGGTGCTGCCTCTTTTCAGAGGACGGATTGCATCTGAAACTCTTCATAAGGACAGGAAGTCCTTTATTATTTAGGTGAAGGTCTCATAGAAAGTACAAGGCTGGGAACTGGGGACAGCCTGGTCCTTTTTTTTTTTTTTTTCCAAAAGGAGAATAATGGAAATGGAAATTGTATTTTAGTGGAAATTGAAGAACAGATTGCCAACTGTTCACTGAGGTCAAGAGGAAAATCAAAGAACTTACTTTATTGCTTATCTATTTTGCATGATTCTTTCAATTACAGGGCGCTTAGGGAACTTCATATTTAGAAAGGGTGGCCTTGTAGTACTAGAGTTTGGGTGAGATTGAAGCCAGAAGGAGTAATTAAACATGATTTTGTTATCTAAGGCAGAAAATAGTACATTGGCCACTTCTGGCTTCTGCTTTCTGAACTCAGTGCCCTGGAATTACAGGGAACTGTGCTGCCTTTAGTCTTGGTCCACTTATTAAGGTTGGCAGGTGGCCCAATTAACATTGTGATCCAGAAGGCTAGGGGATGGCAGCAGAGGCTTTGTACTGTTTCTGTAAGGATGGGGTCTGTGTTCCTGCCTGCCTGTGAGTTGCCTCCACATGGGGCTGTACAAGACCGTGCAAAGCCACTGCAGCTTCCTGCTGTGAAATTCGGAGTGGGAACTATCATTCTCTGTAAGCAGAGGGGAAGTGGTGCTATTGTGGATGAAATTGTGTGAAGGGGCCGTAGGGACTAAAAATGTCAAGGTAGCTCATCTGAGCAGATGAGAGAGCTGTGTTTTTCTGGGCCACTGTTTTGGGGAGGAGGAACCTGTATGGAGAACTGCCATTCAGAGAACAGAGCCATGTGAGGTTTCCCAAATAACAGAGCTTTGTAAGGTCATATCATATTGTGTACAAGAATGCTCTTTTCTCTTCATGTGGAGACTGAATTTGGGTTTTGTAATTTGTACTCACTACTGGAATTTGTTTCAAGAAGTACATCTTTTAATTCTGCAGTTAGTTTAGAACAGAGAGCAACAGACAACAAGAATGACCCAGGCTACCTCAAGTGAAGACACTGGAAAGAAGCCCAGAGGAGAGTGAGGCTCCAGAAACTGCCCATTCTTGGGTTTCTGCAGCACTGTGACTTGGAGCTGTTCTTTTACCCCCAGATGGAGCGTCAGCGGTTGGCTCGAGAGAAGCAGATGCGGGAGGAGGCCGAGCGCACGAGGGACGAGCTAGAGAGAAGGCTTCTGCAGATGAAAGAGGAAGCGACAATGGCCAACGAAGCTCTGGTGATTTCTGAGGGTTAGGGCTCTTGGAGGTGACATGGGACTTGTGAAATTAGGCCTTCTGTGGACCATGAATTTATTTCACTTTTTTTAAAACACCAGTACTTTTTCTTTTTGGAAAATTTAGGTTCAGTTCATTTGCAGTCAAACTCCACTTTCATAACTGACTTGCCTCTGAGTCAGGGTTCTTGGCCTTGGCCCTACCAACTTTTGGAAAGTAGTACCAACCAAAATATGGTACTACTAACAGAGTGTTTCTCTGCATTGAAGGATATTTGTTATGTCCTTACTTCTACCTGCTAAGTGCCAGTGATGACGTTCCAGTCTAAAAATACCCTAGGACTGGGATATGGCTCAGCGGCAGAGCTATTTTCTAGCGTGCCCAAGACTTTATGTGGAGTGTTTTTTGTTTGGTTTTGGTTTTTCAAGACAGAGTTTCACTGTTAGTTCTGGCTGTCCTGGAACTCATTTTGTAGACTAAGCTGGCCTCGAATTCACAGGGATCTGCCTGTCTCTGCCTCCCAAGAGCTGGGATTAAAGGTGTGCGCTGCCACCACCTGCCAAGGCTTTACGTTTTTATTCATTTTTATGTATTCAGTTTGGCGGTGTGATGATTTGGAAGACAAGTTTCAGGTGCCCTGGACTGGACTTTGAATTCATTATAAAGTCAAGGAAAACTATGTATTCTTGATCCTGATTGAAGGAGAGGCATACCTGCCATGCCCAGCCTACCTTACATTAGATTCTCCAGCACTGCAGGAAAATAGTCTCCAGACATTTGTTCAGGAGTAGGCAGTGGGCATGACTCCTACTTTGAATCACTGACTGAAAGGGACAGAACAGAGCTTAAATTGTTTATTCCCCCACAAACATAAGCTTCTGCTGAAATGCATTCTCTATATAGGATGATTTTTTTTCTCCTGTAGTAGAGCCTGCAAGGCCTGCAGGGCTGAATCATTAGTGTGACAGACTGGGAGTCTCTCAGTGAGAAGACATAGGGAGATTATTAAGACTGGTTCCTGGAGGTTGGAGAGATGGCTCAGTGGTTAGCAGCACTGGCTCCTCTTCTAGAGGACCTAGATTTGAGTCCCAGTACCCACATGGCAGCTCACAACCTTCTGTAACTCTAGCCCCAAGTGATACGTTGGCCCCTTCTGGCTTCCAAAGGCACTGCACGTACAGGTGCACAAACATATATGCAGGCAAAACACCTATACACATAAAAATATTTGTTCTTGTTGCTGTGTTAGGGGAGTCTGTGGGAAGATAAGCATATATACTATCTGAGAGCACTTTCCTTCCCAGATGCGGTCTGAGGAAACAGCTGACCTGTTGGCCGAAAAAGCACAGATCACGGAGGAGGAGGCCAAACTTCTGGCACAAAAGGCTGCAGAAGCTGAACAAGAGATGCAGCGAATCAAGGCCACAGCCATTCGGACAGAGGAGGAGAAGCGCCTGATGGAGCAGAAGGTGCTGGAGGCTGAAGTGCTGGCACTGAAGATGGCTGAGGAGTCAGAGAGGAGGTGAGTGGTTGTCCTCAGCACTGGAGCCTGATTCCAAACCTTCCTCTGTGTTGTGGAAACAGGACTATATGACTCCTTCCTTGACAGGCTGGTAGGATGGGAGTACTGGGATAGAACATGGTTATTTTGCCTAGGGAACCTGTCTGTCATGCCTCTACACCTTCTAATAGTGAAGTTTGCAGGAAAAAAACATTTAAACATATCCATAGACTGTTTTTTGCCAAAGAATTGAGAAGAGACTTTTTTACATTTAAAAGAGGGGGAGAAGCAGAGTGCTGGAGAGATGGCTCACAGGTTACAAGCAATAGCTACTCTCCAGAGAACCTGGTTTGATTCTCAACACCCACATGGTGACTTACAACCATTTATAATTCCAGTTCCAGGGGACCCAACCCCCTCTCTGGCCTCCATGGACATCAGGCATGCACATGGTACACAAACATACATGCAGGCAGAACACCCATACACATAATAAAATAATTTTTTTAAGGGGGAAGTGGAGCCAGGGAGATGGCCTAATCAGTAAAGTACCTGCTACACAAGCATGAGGAGACCTGTGTTTGTATCCCAACACCCATGTAAAACCTAAGCACAGCGACATTTATCCATAGCCTCGGCACAGAAGTTAGGAGTGAAAGCAAAGACAGGCGGATCCTTGAACTCACTGACCAGCCAGGCTAGTTGAATTAATGAGCTCCTTATTTAGTGAGAGACTCCACTAAGGTGGAGAGCAGTAGAGGATTACACCCCACACTGACCTGCACCTGCCCACACCCACACACACCCACAAAATCAGCATGGTTCTCTTTCCTTTTGATGCAGATCAATGGCAATTATTTACTTCAAAACAGAAACTAAGTGCCATTTCCCTACAGATTTTCAGGCAGTTAGATAGGGGAGCAGAGCGGCTGTGAGTTTTGTGACCAGAACTGTTGTCTGTAGTCTTTAGACTATTCTAGGTTCTGGATTGTTCTAGTCCTGTAGCCTTCAGATAAACACTGGCACATTCCCCACAGCATCTGGCTCTATTCGTTTAGAGCACTTGAATTTGGCTCTTAGCTACTAAGGTACATTCACTACAGTTTTTCTCACCACTTTTTTTTTCAATGTGCATTGGTGTTTTACCTGCATGTATGTCTGTGTGAGGCTGTCAGATCTTGGAGTTAGAGTTGTGAGCTGCCATGTGGATGTTGGGAATTGAACCTCTGGAAGAGCAGCCAGTTCTATTAACTGCTATTCCATCTCCCCAGCTCCTCTCACCACTTTTGCATGCCATTATGAGAATATGGTTCCTTGACGCCTGCCCTCCTTTGCCCCCGCCCACTCTTCACCCAGAAATAAACATAGTATCTCTGGGCCCTTCCCACTCTCTCTTCTCTCAACCTGTTTCAGAGGTGGGTTGGTTTAGTTGTTGATGTTTGTTTCTTTGTTTTGAAACCGGGTTTTACTATGTAGCCCTTGCTGTCCTAGAATCCACTGTTGTAGACTAGGCTGACCTCAAACTCAGAAATCTGCTTTGTAGCAGGATTAATAAAAACCCAGAGATAGAAATGGGGTTCAACTTGAAGGTCAGAAAAGCAAAACAGCCAGCCACTGGCTCTTACCTCTACCTCTTTAGTGCTGGGATTAAAAGCATGCACCACTGGAATTAAAGGCATGCACCACTTGATTTCTATGGCAACTAGTGTGACTATTGGGATTGAAGGTGTGTGTCACTACTGCCTGGTCTATAAGACTGACCAATGGGGCTGTTTTACTCTCTGATCTACAGGCAAGCTTTATTTATTTAAAATACAAATGAAATAACTCTACACTGCCTGCCTCTGCCTCATAGTGCTAGAGTTTAAGGCATGGGCTACCAACACTAGTTTTGTCTTTTTTTTTTTTTTTTTTCTTATTTTGAGATTGCATCTGCCTCTATTGCCCAGGCCCGCCTCCACAATTCCCCTGCCTCAGCCTTTGGAGTAGCTGGCTCCATAGGCACAAACCACTATACTTCTTCTGCTGGCTGGCAAAACTACCACTTTGGTTGTTTCCCAACAGCTACCCCATATTACAGTCTAGCTTTACCATTGAGATGAACAATACCCAGAAGTACTGTTCTTACTTTGGAAGTTCTGGCTTCCTGTAAATGTCCCTGTCACATTGTCCTTGTTTGCCTTGTTAGGTGCCATATACGGGGTTAAGTTAGGTTCTTGCTCTAGATGTAAGGTAAATGTCTACATGTTCTCACTGTCCCTTTCTCTGAAGCTAACGTCTCTTTCTTTCTCTGCAGAGCCAAAGAGGCCGATCAGTTAAAGCAAGACCTGCAGGAAGCCCGAGAAGCAGAGCGAAGAGCCAAGCAGAAGCTCTTGGAAATCGCCACCAAGCCTACATATCCAGTGAGCCTGGGCTGAGTCTAGCAGCCTTTGGCTGCTTTGGTCTAGCAACTTCCTTAAGCCTCACAGCCCTTTAGTTCACCTCATAGTGCCTTCAGGGTGACAAAGCAAAGCAAATAGAGAGCTTGGATAGAACCCTCCTAGTCTTCCATTTAGCCTGGACTGACTAGTCAGTTACCACTCTTATTACTTAAGATAACAGACCGTAGAGCCATTTCCAGCCCTGGAATGTTTATTACTACTCCAGTCTCCACCTTCAAGAGAGTTTGCTGTCTAGATCCCTAGTGTCAAGCTAAATGTAATCTTCAGCTCTCAGTATAAACTAGGTACCATAATATAGTTCTGTGAAGGGACCGACTCTACACCTCAGAGTGAGACCCTGCTATGCCAGAACCAGCTGCCAACCTCAGTTTTGGGACTGGGAGTACTAGAAGGGCTTGTACTAAATGGGGTCATAAAATAAGTAGACATCACTTCCCTTCCTTTCCTCTGCTCATTCCACTCTGCAAAGGTTTTACTCACTTGTTCTCTATTCATATAATATCATCAATTGGAAATCTCTATCCTGATGGATATGCACAGGTGCCCAGATTACAGCCAGCTCTGGAGACAGGAAAGACTCAGTGTGACTGTATTTTGCAGAGGAACTGGATTCCCTGCTGAGCCGGGAAGAGAGGATGGAATATTCTAGGCAAGGACACAATGCATTCACAGCACAAACACATAACCCATTCTCGCACATGCTACACACAGTGCACAGTCATGTGCATGACAAACAGTGTACATGTGCACGTGGCACATTCACATATTGCACAGATGCATTCAGGACACAGACATAAGTGCCTAGGATATGAGTTGGAGAAATGCGAGCAGTTTGCTATTGCCATGTGTCCTTGTTATCTACTCCTGAGTAACAGATAACCCCAAGCAACCATTTATTTGTCTCTTGGGCATGGTGTGTTAATCAGACTCACGTCTTCTCTCAAGTTCTCTCAGATGGTCCCATTCATGTGACAGTTGGGACTGTGACAGTCTGAGGGCTCAGCTAGGCTGTGTACCTGAAATAAATGTGTCTAAACATCTATTGGAACAAATTTTATAAATTACTATCCCTTTGCTCTTTCTTTTAGTAATGTGTCCGGGAGGAGAAAACACCAGTTCCTTAATGACATCATGTCTTCTGGGTGGATTATAATTCAGCTAGCCAGTCCCTATAGATGAGTATTCAGTATGATTTCTGTAGCAATTTTGAATACAACTGCACTGAACATCCCTGAATACAAATCTTTGCACATATATTTGACAGTATTGGTAGAATCAGTTCTCATAAGTAGAACTGTGAGGTCAGGTGCTCAATTGTGATACTTACCGAAGAGTTATGCTTGTTTCTGCTCTCACCAGAAAGGGTAACAGCTAGTGCTCTTCTTTTCTGGGAATTTTTTTTTTTTGAAGTGTAAGATAAATAGATGCACCTAAATTATAGCTATCCAGCCTGATGTATTTTCACAGGCCAGACTCTCTCATATATCCAGCATTCATTCCTGAAAACAGAGTATATGTAGCACTGAGATATCCCTGCTCAGAGCCACATTTGACATTTGCCACTTTCCCTGCCTTAGACCTCATTGCCGTAAATGAAAGCTCAGAGGTTCCTTCCACACACTGTTCCATACTGGAAAAGGTCCAAGGATGAAAAAGACAGAGTGTGCCCTCAGAAAGTTTGTAGACATAGAAAGACAAAGACATGAAAGGAGGGAACTTTGCAGTGTGGGCTTGAGGGAAAGATCTGTAGCAGCACTGTGCACACCGTGCTAAAGACCTGTAGCAGCACTGTGCACACCATGCTAAAGACCTGTAGCAGCACTGTGCACACCATGCTAAAGACCTGTAGCAGCACTGTGCACACCGTGCTAAAGACCTGTAGCAGCACTGTGCACACCGTGCTAAAGACCTGTAGCAGCACTGTGCACACCGTGCTAAAGAACTGCAAAGGGGAAAAGCAGCCATGTTGCCAAGAGGGGTCTTCAAGAGCTTTGGTGAGAGACTGAAGGAGTTGAGAACCTTGAACAAGGAATGGAAAACTTGCTAGAAATGATGACATACACCTGTAATCCTAGTGCTCAGGAGGCTGAGACAGAAGTCTCACCAGTTTGAGACCAGCTTGGGATATGTGGTGAGGATATAGCTTAGTGGTAGTGTTTACCTAACATGCACATCCCTAGTACCACAGAAAAAGACAAGGAAAGAGGAAGAGAGAGGAGAGCAGCAGGGAAGGAAAGAAAGGAAACATACAGAACTACACAGATGGGAAAACGGCCATGCCCCGAGGGATAAAAAGCAGTACTGTTTATAATTTAACAGGACAAATTATGGGGACACTTGAACAGTAGATAGGGGCTGTATATTAGGTGATGTTTTGTTCTGGAATGAAAAGGCCCTGAAAACAAGTCTAATGACTTCATCTTACTTTATCTTAAGCCCTCCTTTGGCTCTGTCTTCTGAATCTAAGCCCCTAACATATGTGCAAAAAAACTTTTGGTCCAAAGCCAATCTCTTACCAGCCTCCCTACAGGGCACTACAGATGCCCAGGGCTCCTGTTGGACCCACTCCACCCTATCTACAACCGTGCTGCTGTTCCCACCCTGGCTCTTGTTCACCTTACTGAACTGTGAGGATTTGTAGACATCTGCTTCCTGAACAAGACTTTTATGTGCGTATCTTCTCTCTGTCCAGCTCGTAGCCCCGTGCCTGGGAGTTTCTTTCCTTTTCAGCTGAGTGCAAGTTTGTATTTGATTGAAGTGATCGTGGAAATAATGAGGTTTGAGAAGAGAAGAGTGACTTCTCTGAATGTAGGTGCTTTGGGACCACTTACCTGGCAGTACTAAGTGTAGAGGACTTGGTCCTGTATAATTTAAACCTCCTAATCTGAGCTTTCTCACCGACAGCCCATGAACCCAATCCCAGCGCCACTTCCTCCTGACATACCGAGCTTCAACACCATTGGTGACAGCCTGTTGTTTGATTTCAAGGATACTGACATGAAGCGACTTTCCATGGAGATAGAGAAAGAAAAGTGCGTACCCTCTGTGGCCTGCTTGGGGCAGTCATGCACATGAGAGTGGATTTGGCCTAGGGACACAGAGATTACCACAGCAGCCAGATATTACCCCTGCAAAAGTTTGATCTGTTGTCACCCACTAGAGAACAAATTTCCTAATTAGAAATTAAAGATAACAGATCAAGACAGCAGTCAGTGTCCCAAGATAAAAATAACACTTGATTGGTCGCCTGGAATTTATAGCGGGTCAAACCTTGACTGAAGAATAGGACTGGGTCCTATCCCCTCAGTCAGACTGTTGTTCACATAGTACTAAACTAGTTTTCTTCTGATCATGTTCTTCAGCAGTGCTTCCTAAGTCTAGAACAAAGGTGAAGAAAAAGGAAAAAAAAACACGGTTTCTAGGCTGAGCAAAGCCTGGGTCCAGGTGGAACCAGTTCCCCTATGCTGGCAACTAGCCAGACCACAGCTACTTCTGTCGAGTGCCTCCATTCCACTTTGTGGTCAGAGTGGAACAGAGACGGAGAGGAGCTGTAGATGAAATCTAAGACCCTCTCATTCCTTGAGCCAGAAGTAAATTGGTTAATAGCCACAGCTGGCAGAGAACAATCACAGAGGCCCTATGGATTAAGCGCCTGTGAGTCTTTGTCTCATTTAATTCATACTAATTAACAAACATCCCACTGGCGTCAAAGGCGAGTTTTAGGGACTGGGGGTGGGGCTTAGTTGGTAGAGTGCTTGCCTAACATAGGCAAAGCCCAGAGTTCAGTCTCCTGCACAGCTTAGGTCAGGCATGGTACATCAGTAATCTTAGTACTCAGGAAGTAGAATAGCAGGACCAGATTATCTTTGGCTACATAGCAAATTTAAGTCTGGCCTGGGCTACATGAGGCGCTATCTCCAAAAAAACTGCTGTAGTGTTCCAATCATATAAAATAGACTAGATTTAGTTTAATGAGTCACCCAGCATCACATAGCTGATGGGGAGCAGGTCAAGGACTGAAACCCTTACTCACTGTGGTACTCAGAATAGTGCTCTGCAGTCCAGCATGAACCGTCAAGAACCAGGCTATCCTCCTGTGATCCAGAGTTGCTGCTGCTAGCATCAGACTGAGTCCCTTTCTCATTTTCCAGATGGACGTGTTTATGTGGTTGTGATCAGCATAAGGCCACATCCTGTCCTGTGTCATGGTTTTTTATAGTTTGTATTTTCTTACTGTCTTAGTGTGTTTGGCTGTTATAACAAAATACCAGAGGCTGGAAAGCTTATAAACAACAGAAATTTACTTCTCATAGTTCTGGAGGCTTAGAAATCCAAGATCAAGGCATTGCCAACTCAATGTTCATGAGTTTTCTTCCTGGTTCGTAGATGGTACCTTGCTGTGTGCCCATGTGTATCAGGATCTCTTTAGGGTCTCTTTTTTAAGGACATAAATCCATCATGAGGCTGATGAACTAATCACTGCCCAGGCCCTCATCTCCTAACACATTGGCAGTTGGCTGCGGATACGAATGGGACAGCACTACATTCAGCCCGCAGCACTTATTTTCTACACAAGCTGCAGAGCCCATTGACTGGCCACAGAAATCTGTTCAGAATGTTTGCTTCTGTTTTCTGTTCACACTTATAGTTAAACACTTTAACCTCGCCAGGTGAAAATGGCAACCTATTTCTTCTCAGTGTTGTCTAAGTGGAATGTCTGCCATCTTTTCCTAAAGGTCTCGAGATAAGTGGGAGAGTAGATGTGGTTAACTGCTTCAGGAAGGGTGGAAGCAGAAGAGCGGGGTTCAGGAGGCTTGTTTGATGTGACTTTTCTTTTTTTTAAATTTATTTATTATGTATATAGTGTTCTGGGCACCAGATCTCATTATAGACGGGTGTGTGTCACCATGTGGTTGCTGGGAATTGAACTCAGGACCTCTGGAACAGCAGTCAGTTCTCTTAACCTCTGAGCCATCTCTCCAGCCCTGATATGACTTTTCATACAGAACTGAAAACGGGTTATTTGGAGAGCACTCCAAAAGTTTATATGGAGCTTTCTTCCTACACTTTATTACTTCCTGCTGGGAGGTCCTATAATTATTTTCCCAACTGCACTGATGTGGAAAGAGATTCATAGCAGTTTAGAGGGTCCCAAGCTTCTTTCACTTCTGAGTGGACAGGTTCAGGTATGAACCCCAGGCTGCTCCTGAAAACTTGCGGTCATGGCAAGTCTCTTCTGTATCTCAGTGTCTGCCCAGTTCTGATGCATGGTGCGCGGTTTCGTCTTGACAGAGTGGAGTACATGGAGAAGAGCAAGCACCTGCAAGAGCAGCTCAATGAGCTCAAGACGGAAATCGAGGCCTTGAAACTCAAAGAGAGGGAGACAGCCTTGGATATCCTGCACAACGAGAACTCAGACAGGGGTGGCTCCAGTAGCAAGCACAATACCATTAAAAAGGTACCCGAGTCTTCTGGGTTTTGCTGAACAGGGTGCTTATTAATGAAATGTGAAGTTGGCATCTAGTCTCCTCAGGAGCCCAGTCATTAGCCTTCTTTCTTTACTTTCTTTCTTTCTTTTTAAAACATGTACTTAGTTGAGGGAGTTTTTCAACTCCTGACAGAAAAAGAATTTAAGCTGCCAGTGACCATGAACCCATTGGCTTGATGGAAGTAGAGCTTGTGTTAAAAGCTCTGATGAGATGAGTCCCTGTTTGAGGATGGGTTTTGATCTATCACTGAGCACTAAAGCGATTCTGTCTTTAAAGCCAGTGGGACTTACGCTCAAGGAAGCTGCCTTACTTAATGAGAGAGCACAATGAATTAAAGGCTGTTGAATGGAGTCCCCTCTAGTCTTTGTGTAAGACCATGTTCTAAATCTCCAACTTTTTCATACTTAAAAGGAAGTATATAGGAGAGCCTTAATTTTTAATAAGATGAGACTTCATTTCTGAGGCTCACAGAATCCCATCCTGTCTCTCCTGATATTTAGAGTGTTCATCATTGTAGGGATTTAGGAGTTACTCAGTCCTCCTTATCAGCACAAGAATGTATATACCTCTTATTTGGGCAAATTAATGCTCTGCTTTTAGCCGATTGCCCCTGTAAGACAGACGTTAGAAAGTGATTGCTGTGGCTACACACAGTTGTAACCCTGGCATTTAGGAGGGAGAGGCTGGAGTTGCAAGTTCAAGGCCAGCCTGGTCTACAGAATAAGACCTTGTCTCCTTTTCCTTGAGTTTGGATGAAAACTGATATGGTTAAGTTTCACGCTTTATTTCAGTTGGTAAAGCAGTCCCCAGCTTAAGGACTGTCTCTGTTTTCAGTGATTAAGTTGTTACTGAAAATTTGGAGAAACCTATGTCTCCCTGCCATCACATCCTCTCTCTCTCTCTCTCTCTCTCTCTCTCTCTCTCTCTCTCTCTCTCTCTCTCTCTCTCTCTCTCATCACTGATATATATGTAGGTAGGTAGTTGGATAGATAGACAGTGTTACAGTGGACACCAAGTCACATGACCACCGCAGTCACATGACCTACCAGGGAGGCATTGCATCCTCCACACCCTCTTTCCTACAGCCCCTGTTGTTTTCTGGATTTCTCCTTTCAAACAAAATTATTAAAAGTCAAAGGGGAGTTAAAACCAGGCATGGTGGCACACAGAACTCAGGAGGAGGAGGCAGGAAAATTGAAGATCATTTTGGCTATGTAGAAAATTCATGTCCCGTGCTAGGTGGTAGTGGCGCACTCCTTTAATCCTAGCAGAGACAGGTGGATCTCTGCGAGTTCAAGGCCAACCTGGTCTACAGAGCAAGTTCCAGGACAGGCTTCAAAGCTACACAGAGAAACCCTGTCTCAAAAAACCAAAAAAGGAAAAATAGGAAAGAAAGAAAGAGAGAGAGAGAGAGAGAGAGAGAGAGAGAGAGAGAGAGAGAGAGAGAGAGAAATAGAGAAAGAAAGAAAGAAATTCATGTCCAGCCTGTGCTATATAAGACCCTGTCTTATAAGGGGGGGGGATAAAAAGGTAAAAAGGAAGCCTCTACCCTTAAGCCAAAACAGCCCTGAGGGAGCAACCTCAGACCCTCATCGTGCCTCCTTGTCTTTTGGGTACCTGTGTTCCCGTTCAGTGGTGAGCTGGCCTCTGAGCCACAAGAGCCTGGAGTACTAAAAACCAGAGAGGCCAGTGTTCAAACCATGAAAGTACATGAAGTCACTTGTCTCAATTTCTGAGCATTTTGCAAATGACACATGTGGCATTTTGATTTCACAGGGTATATCTTTTTTTTTTTTTTCATTTTATTTTGCTGGTTTAGCCTCAAGCCCAAGGCAGAAGACCTATCTGCATTTGAGTCCTCAAAGTAGGTTATTCCCAGGTATTCTGTCTGTGGTGATGGTCCTGCCGTCTGTGATACTAACCCATGCATGAGCTTGCCTGTCTCTGTGTTCGGGCCACATGGAGCCCTCCTGAGGGCAGGTGAAGCCTGGGGCCTGGCCACAGCATGCTTTAAGGGTGAGAGCAGGTGTCCACCCTGAGGGGCCCAGAAGGCTGCCTCATTCTGAAGAGCATGTCACGGGGCTGCAGGACCCGTTGCTTTGTCTATCTCGTGTCTCTGTTGGGCTGTGGAAGGTCATGGCTTCCTGTCCAATCAGATCTGTCTCTAAGTCCTTTGTCTTCTTGGTGGTGTATTCCTTTGATAGATAACTCGAGCATGGAGTGGGGTCAATTCTGATGCTTTTAAGACTGGTGTCTCTCGTCCAAGATCACTCCTACCCTGTGGTGGTGCACTCTTCAGACTTATCACAGCTGGTGGCTTCTGGGCGTGGGTCACTTGTTCTCATTTTTCTCTGAAGCTTCCCATTCTTTGCACACCCCTTTTCTTCCAGCAAACCCAGAGCACTGTGCATCTTTGAGCCAGTTGCCATGAGCTGGCTGTCCCATGGCCACTCTACGGTCACTTTGGTTTCCATCCCCACCTGCAGCATGGAGGGAGCAGCACATGGACAGTCCTATTGCAGATACCCAGGAGATGAGCAAGCAACATTTGTGTTGAGTCAGTTAATCAAAGATGGCAGATTGTTCTTTCAACATGCCTGGGCAGTAGAAGGAATTTGTTTTGCCTAGGACAGGACTAGTGTTAAACTGCCTCTGTTATCGTAATCCCCAGTCATACCCTCACCACTGTGCCTCTGACACTTTCTGACAGGAGTGTAGGCTCTTTCCTTTAACAGCCTCACTGTAGTCAAGTAGAAGAAACTCTGAACCTTGTGCCCAGGAGATTCATATTTGCTCATTGTCCCAGAAAAAGAGGTATTGAAGTTCCAGGTAGATCTTTCATCAGGTGAATAGGAGCTTACAAAGTCCCAAGAACCCATGACCTGAACACAATTTTGAGTGTCATTTGAGCCTGACAGTGAATAGATTCCTATTTTTTCAGCTTCATATGCCCACTTTGGTGTTGTTAACCTGACACCATGCAGTGTGTGTTTTGAGCAGGCCATCAGAGCAGGCGGACAGGTTAACTCTGCCTAAGTGCTGACCCCATGGCACTAGGGTACAAGTGGATCTGTGGTGGTTCACGAACTCTGGTTAACACAGGGCAAGCAGAAAACCCTGATTTGTTTTTACCTAATGCATCAGATGTTCCCTGCATATAATTAACCAGTTTCATGTGAATGTGGGTTTATCTTTTTTGTGATATAGCATATTTACATTCTTCAGGGTCTTAGTTTTGCTCATCAGTTCTCACTGAGTTGTTATAGAAAAGGAAATTTCCTTTTTAGTCAACTTTGTATTATTTTTAAACATATAGCCATAGTGACATTTGGCTAATGACAGACCAAGTACATAGTGGTGGTTGTATAAGTTTGAATTTGACTGCATTGCAGCCATTTTAGTCTGTAGCATGATTAATAAAAACCCAGAGACAGATATTAGAGTTCAACCTGAGGACCAGAAAAGCTAAACAGCCAGCCACTGGCTCTGACCTCTACCTCAGTCTGAAATGGCGTTCCTGCCTCCAGGAATTCTCAGAACATATTCTATGATTTCCCTTAGTGATGAGATCATCTAATGGCACATTTCTCAAGCATGGCCAATCATCACGCAGCAAGTGGCTGTATATGGAAACGTTTGTTCATTCATTCACATGAATGTCTTAATGTGAAGTTGTTTTCAAAACAGGTTGCTAGGCTCTATTTAATTAAGAATTCTGATTAACCAGGGACTACTAAAAGCAAGAACTTGGCTTTCAATATGATGTAAGTTCTTTCAGCAATTCTAAACTAAATGCTGGTAGGTTTTGCTGTACAGGAAGTCTGAAGAATGTTTCATAGGTATTAGCAAAGGCTCATGATTGATTGGCACCTGCCTGTGTAGAGGTGGCTCACAAGTCATTCCCACTACTGTCTGAACCAATGCTAGACTAGCAGAAAAGTGAGCCTTCTGACTTTGGTACTGTGAGTTCCTACATGTCAAGGGAAGAGCTCTGGGGATGAGAGATTGTCTTAGTCGGGGTTTCTTTTGCTGTGAAGAGACACCATGACTATGGTAGCTCTTAGGAAGCATTTAATTGAAGCTTGCTTTTACTTCAGAAGCATAATAGCATACAGGCAGACATGGTGCTGGAGAGGTAGATGAGAGTTCTGCATCTCAGCAACAATAGAAAGAGAGAGACACTGGCCTGACTTGAGCATTTGAAACCCCAAAACCTCAGTGACATGCTTCCTTTAACAAGGCCATACCTGCTGATCCCTGTCAAGCAGTGCCACTCCCTAATGACCAGGCATCCAAATATATGAGCCTATGGGGGGCATTCCTATTCAAACCACCATAGAGCTATAAAGGCTGATGGTCTCCTGAGAGCCTGTTATCCTGTGTCCAAAATAGCCAGCAGTGACTTTTGTTCTGTTTTCATGAGTTTTGATCATAGGTTTCTTCAAGGAGTAGGTCTCTCACTGTAATCCAGGTGGTTCTTTCACTATTCTGCTTCACCAAGGAGCTGTTTTGGACATGGTCCATGGAGGTTCCGTGGAGGCTGTGAAAGGCCAAAGCTAACTCAGAGGCTGGGTTTCTCAGTGTATAAAGTGAGGACATGACCACTCCAAGGTATGGTTGAGGAGGTTTTTATTGTAGATATGAGAAAGTGTGGAGCCAGGGCATCTGGAAGAGTCCAGAGCAGGGAGAGAAGGACTGACCATGGCCATGAGAGGAGGTGGGGGAAAGCGAGAAGGGAAGGAAGAGACCATGAGAGAGGGAGGGGCTGAGAGAGCACATGGCTGAAATGTCAGGGTTATATAGGAAGCAGGAGCAGGGGAAAGAGAAGCCTATGAGCTGGAGAAGTTTAGGATAGGGAGGTGGGGTGAGAAAAGCTGAAAAGGGCCACAGGTACTGAGTGTTCTTGTAGGCCATCTCGTCTTTTGTATGCTAATAGACGCCACAGCTAGCCATTTGTTCTAAGTTTCTTCTGGACCTGACACTCAGAATGTCAAGTAGTGGGGCTCTCATCCTTTCTCAGTAGCTTTTACATTCTTTTTAAAATTTTGTATGTGTATAAATATTTTGCCTGCATGTATGTCTGTATAATATGTGCGTGCCTGTGATGTCCACAGAGGCCAGAAGATGGCATCAGATCCTTTGGAACTGGAGTTACAGATGGTTGGGAGCTACCATGTGAGTGCTGGGAATTGAATTCTGGATGAGCAGCCAGTACTCTTAACTACTGAGCCATCACTCAAAAAAAAAAAAGTTTTTGCTTTTTTAAAAGATAGAATTCTTATCTGTGAAAGATAAATGAAGCCCAGTTCATACTCATAAACCAACTTCTTAAAAGACTGAGGCAGGAGAATCAGAAGCTCAAGGACAGTTCAATAATGAAGCAAAATATTGTCTCAAAGAAAAAGGACAGTGGAAGAACACTTGCTAACATGTATGAAGCCCTGTGTTAGATCCCAGTAGCACAGAGATCATAAAAATAATCCACCAGGTATTTCGTCCCAGGCCAAGCAGAACCACACAGTGAGACCCTGCCTCAGATCATCACCATCGTCATCATCGTCCTCGCCTTCCCCCATCCCCAGGGTTGTTCTGAGGTCAAACGAGAAAAGTCACATGAAGCACTTCCTGCACGGTGAGGGTTTAAAGCATGAAAAGGAACATCTGCTTGCGGACTAGCGATGATGGAAGAAGGAGCAATCTTGGGTTGTGCCACCACATTTAAGTCTACACTGGTGGTGAGCAGTAGGTGTGTTAACTGACATATGATAGAGGTGAAAAACTTCTAAAGCAGCTGGGTGGTGGTGGTGCACGCCTTTAATCCCAGCACTTGGGAGGCAGAGGCGGCGTTCTCTGTGAGTTCGAGGCCAGCCTGGTTTACAAGAGCTAGTTCCAGGACAGGCTCCAAAGCTACAGATAAACCCTGTCTCGAAAACAAAAACAAACAAACAAACAAACAAACAAACAAAAAAAAAAAAAAAAAAACTTCTAGAGCCAAAATTGGTTTTTCTGGCTCCTTTTCCAGTTGTAGCTTTGGGACTACAAGGTTACAGTTTTTTTTCTCCTTTTAATCTTATGTCCCTACATCTTCCACCTTTTTCAACTGATGATTAAAGCAACTGGTGTGGCATTTGCGTCTGAGTCAGCAAGCTGCCCTGGGGAACCAGGATTTATTTCACTCTCAGAGAGGCAGAGACACATGTTCCTGGCATCTGAGCCCCGAGTTACAGAGGGAACCCAGCAATCCAGCTGCATGGGCACACAGACCACCTTTGACCTGAGTGTTTGGGCTTCAGAGCCACAGTGCTGATAACAGTGGTAACCAGGTATGGGTTAGCTTAGCCACCGCCCTCTGGAGGTAAAAACATCTTGGAGCAGGTATCCTTTGGGGCCATCCCGTCGTTCTCTCAAGATTCCTACGTCAGTCTTCTGATCTGAAATTGGGCCAAGAGCCAGCAAACAAATCGTCATGCCCATAGCCTCCAGCAGAGCAGAGGGTTTCAAAGGAAGTTGACAGATGAGGAATTATGGGGGTTGTGGAGCTGAAAAAGCTTACTTCATTTGTAGATGGTTTAGATTGTCAGTGTCGAACCACATTTCCCACTGTGGAAGAGCAGGAAGAGCAGAGCTTTGACGTTTATCGGAAGCCCAGCTGCCTCTCCTGGATCAGGAAGACAGAAAAGTCCAATGTCATCTTCAATCTCTGCAGAGTCTCCTTGGAGATGCAGGGCTTGCGAAATGAAGTAGAACACTTCAGGCACCTGGAGAAGTGATAAATCACAGGGAGAAATTGAATATGCGTGAAAGGCATCTCCCACAATTAAAACAAGCAACCAGGGCCTCTCTGGTTCCCTCTAGTATACATGGATAGCCTCAAAGATTGCTGCTAAGAAGTTTAATGTACAGTTCATGTGTCTAGCCTTCACTGTAAGCCTGTGGACTGAGTGACCCTGATTGCTTCAGAAATGGGGATTGTCTGGTAGAACATCCTCAGTCCTGACAAAAACCAGCATTCTCAGGCTCCAGAATCTTCCCTTTATTTTACATTCAGGGAAGAAGGGAGGGAGAAGTGGGGTGGCGGCAGCAGTGAGGCTAGATATGAGCACAGGAGACCCAGGAGAAACTGCATTGCCTCAGGATTCTTCCTCAGCGCCCAGGCTCTGTGGAAGCATACAGAAGACCTTAAGAGCTGGTCTTGTTTTGTTTTGTTTTGTTTTTATTTTTTGAGACAGGATCTCTTTACATAACCTGGCTGTCCTGGAACTCACTATGTAGACCAGGCTGGCTTCAAACTCAAAGAGATCTGCCTGCCTCTACCTCCTGAGTGCAGGGATTAAATGTGTACATCACCAATCCCAGTTTGAAGGCTGGTTTCAAAAGAGCTCTTCCTGGGGCTGAAGTGATGGCTCAGCATTTAGGAGCTCTAACTGCTGTTACAGAGGACCCAGATTTGGTTCCCAGCACCTCAGGTTCACAACCTATCTGTAGCTCCAGCTTGAGGATCTGACATACTCTTCTAACCCCCTTGAGTACTAGACACAGGCATACATACAGACTAAACACTCATAAAATAAGATTTTAAAAGAGTGCTCTTCTTGGTTGTCACCCTGTGGGTTCACTCCTGAAAGCCATTTCTAACACAGTTGCGGAGAGTCCTGTGGCTGCTGAGGGGTGTTGATTTCTTGCCTGCTTCTGGTAGGTCCAGATAGAAGAGTCTACCAGCCTCTCTCTGAGGCTACAGCCTGATCCTGGTTTTGATTGGGAAGCTTTACCCTGTAAAGGAGTTTGCTTTGGGAAGTGTTGAGCCTACAAACCCTGCCTTGTGGCCTAGAATGTTTTATGACTATTTGAAAGTGCCTGTGACCATTATTGGGCCTTATTTGATGCAGTAAAACATTCCATTTGGCCCCTTGGCTCTAAGATAGTTTCCTTTCAGCACAGCGCTCCCAGGGCACCTGATTTGTTGCTGCAACAGTGGGAGGGAAAAGCTGGGATGCAAACTCATTCTGCAGGCTCGGGGTTCTGTTCTTATGAGCTTTGCCATGATTTCTCTTTGGAGATTGGCAATTTAAAAGTGATATCAGTATATCTGGACCTCTTTCCTAAGGCTTTTGCCCAGAGTGCTTGGTAGAGCGCATTTAGCCTCCACCTGCCCAGTGAGGTGAATCAGGCCAATGAGTTCATTTGTTAGGTGGAAGAACAAAAGGCCCTTCTAGCATCACAGGACAGAAGAGACACAGGCAGACATTTCCAGGCACGTTGCTGCTGCTTTATGTCCCTAGGGATTAGAATAGAGCGGATTCCCCAGGGATTTCCTGGACAGATTTCTCTGTAAAGGAATTGGATTTGTTTATTGGGATGGATGTGGCCTCTCGTTCTACCTCTGTTTAGGGATGAGCACGTGGACAGCTCTCTCCGTGCGCACATCATGAAGAAGGCATTTGTGTGCACGCTGTCACATCAAGACTGCAGAAGAATTTAGTGTACCTGGCTTATAGCAGTGCCCCTCCCACTGTGTTAGTACTCCCCATCTTGACTCCAGTTTAGAAAGGGGAATGTTTATCTTACCCAAACGAAGATCATGTTGGATCTGCTGGTGCTGGCTGTGGCTGTCACCTTTCTGCTCGAGTCTGCTTGTTCCCTGTGCATCCTCATGCCAGAGAATCTGCATGTCCTTTTCTCTCTCCACCCTCCCCCGCTCCTTCATTTTCAGTATGTAGTGGTGGAGAGGAAGTGTAGCATGATTTTAGGGCTTGCATTTCAATTCCGCTGCATTTTTATGGGACGAGCTGAGTCTCAGCACTGGGAGTTATTAGGTTAGTATCTAAAATGGGTTTGGCACTGTGGGTCTTATTATTTAAAATGAATTAGACAGCCCCCTCCCATCTTCCTCTTCTCCCTGGGGGTAAGTGGATTGAGGCGAGGCCCCCAGAGACTAGTTTAAGGAATCCTGGTGCCCTGATTAGTTTTGTTCTTTCCGCTTAATTGTAGAGCTTCCTTTCTCCCCACTGATAACCAGAGTGCCTCTGTCCTGTCTGCCTCTGTACTCCCTTTAGCATTAGGACAAGATTGTTACAATGCAGCCTTGTGAATCAATTTTCTTTCTGTTCTGATGAAAGTGTAATTCATTCTTAATCAAGCAGCCTTGCTGCTGCGGGCTTTATGCTGGAATACATTTAGTTACCCTCCTGTCACTCTGGGACTTTTAGAGGAGAGATGGGCAGAGTAGAGCTGGCAGTTTGCCTTCTCACAGTGGGTTTCCAGCAGGGGGCATCCTTGGGGGGTCAATGTTAGAACCTTGGTAGTTAGACTCCTCCCTCCTAGGCCATCAACAGGTGTTTCTCAGGAGCATCTTTTTTTTTTAAGATTTATTTATTATGTATACAACATTCTGCCCCTATATATGTCTGCAGGCCAGAAGAGGGCTGGGAATTGAACTCAGAACTTCTGAAAGAGCAGTCAGCACTCTTAACCTCTGAGCCATCTCTCCAGCCCTCTCAGGAGCATCTTGATGGAATCCGTATCATACAGTGAGCAGGAGACAGCTATGTCTGCAGATCCTTGCATAGGTTAGAGGAAACCAGCTGGGTAGCAGGTCCTTTTTGAAGGTAGGAAAAACCAGGCTTTTGTTGCTTTTGTTGTTGGTTTTGTTTCATTTGAAACAGGGTCTCTCTATGTAGCCATAGCTGGTCTGGGACTCACTATGTAATCCAGGGTGGCCTCAAACTCAGAGGTTCTCCTGCTGCCTCTCTAGTGCTGGTATTTAAAGGTTAACACGAGCATGTCCAGCCAGTTTTTTTTTTTCCTTTTTTTTTCTAGGACAGGGTCTATGTTGTCCAGGCTAGCCTTGACCTTACTATTTAGGATGCTCTTGTCTTAGCCTCCTGAATCCTGGGAGTACAGGAATGTGCCAGTGTGCCTGTTGTCTTTTGTTTATTTGTTTGGGTTTGGTTTGGTGAAATAGGGTCTTGCTGTGTAGTTCTACCTGGCCTGGCTTCAAGCTCCTGCCTCTACCCATAAGTGCTGGGATCACAGGTGTGTCCACCATGCTTGGCACGCCTGTCTTTTTTTCTTTTAACCCCTGAGATAGGGTTTCTCAGTGTAACAGTTCAGGTTGTTCCAGAACTCGCTTTGTAGACCAGGCTGGCCTTGAACTCACAGAGAGACGCCTGCTTCTGCCGCCCAAGTGCTGGGATTAAAGGCGTGAGCCACCACCACCCAGCTGCCTTTTTTAAAAAAAAAAAAAAAAGATTTAATTTATTTAGTGTGTGCACAGTGTTCTGCCTGCATGTGTCCCCGCAGGCCTGAAGATGACACCAGATCTCAATCCAGGTGGTTTTGAGCCACCGTGTGGTTGCTGGAAATGGATCTCAGGACTTCTGGAAGAAGCAGTCAATGCTCTTAACTTCTGAGCCATCTCTCTAGCCCCGGCACTCCTGTCTTTTTAAGAAGACAGATATATCTTCCAAATCCAGATTGTTTAAAGTTGATGGTTTGTCCATTTTTGTCACATAACACAAAGGGGCCTTCCATAGCCTGGTCATTGGTGGGTAGGTGCTTCTTCTAGGGCCTGTGTGTGTGTGTCGAGGTGGAAAGGAAGACCAGGGACCCATAGGATAAAAACCAAGCCATGAAGACCTGCTGCAGAGAAAGAAAAGGACATTGGTCTTTTCAGATTGGAATTGGATTAGTGACAGACTAACGGCCAGTTCCAACAGAAGAGAACTTAATTCCTCCTGTGTTATCCACAGGGCTGATGCCAATCAGATGTGAAGACAGCTAAAGAAAGCAGCAGTCAGCCTAGGGCCTGGTGAGGAGGCCACGTGTTCTTTAGTCAACTTCAAGGAGCTGATTCCTTATGGTTTCCAGCCTTCCCAGACAGCCAGGTCTGACTGTCCAGATTCTGTGGTTGACCTTGTCTGGATCTGCTGTGAGTTTTGAAGGACTTTGCATAGCAGAATGGTCACTGGTTAGCACGTGCTCAGCTAGCTTGTTCATAGAAGGCAGGTCCCAGCATGGAATACTGGACCTGGGCATATCCATGTCCTGAGCATCTCAGCGTTACTACCTGATGAAATAGAGAACCCTTGTTGCCCAGACAGTCTCCCAGGTATCTTAGTGGTATGAGCAGAAACTGTACTCCACACTTAAGATGTCTGTCTCCACAGCCAAAGGGTATGTATTGAACTCTGGAGCTGGGATTATGCACCCCACCTCCACAGCCTAAGACTGCGAATGAACGTTATGGCTGGGATTCTGCTGGTGGCTGGGACTTGGGTGGGTTCAAATCTCCACTCGGTGTGACTTGGTATAAGGCTCCTGTGAAAGGAAATGAGGCTGGAATCTTTTGTTTTGGTTTTTTGTTTGTTTGTTTTTTTAAGTTAGGGTTTCTCTGTGTAGCCCTGGCTGTTCTGGATCTATCTCTGTGAACCAAGCTGGTCTTGAACTCAGAGATCCTCCTGCCTCTGTGCCACCATGTCCTGCTGAGGCTGGAACCTTAGTGGAGTTGTCTCCATGGCACTCTTTGGATCTTACAAGCAGAGATGTTGCTGTGCTGTGATAGATCCAACCCTATCACTGATCAACAAGACAGCCCGAGTGTTGCTGTGGGCTCATGGACTTTTGGATGTGAGAGTTTCACAAGAAACCCAGGAAATTTTTTTTTTTTTTTAGTTTTTCGAGACAGGGTTTCTCTGTTGCTTTGGAGCCTGTCCTGGAACTCGCTCTTGTAGACCAGGCTGGCCTCGAACTCACAGAGATCCGCCTGCCTCTGCCTCCCGAGTGCTGGGATTAAAGGTGTGCGCCACCGCCACCACCCGGCTACCAGGAAATTTTTTGACTGGTATTATGAAGGAGGGCTTAAAGCAATGTTCCACTTCCTCTGAACCTGCATTTTTTCTTTCATGAGCATCTCCTACTTGTAGTGTGGTAACCAACTTTCTAGGATGAGTCCTACGTATGTCAGAGAGAGCAGGTAACAATAGACCCCATGGGGGTAGCTTGCCCACAGAGTGCCTAACCAGGAGCGCAGTCGACAGAAACAGGTAGCAGTGCTCCAAAACAAGGGCTTTTTGGGCTCTGGAATGCCTCCTTCATGGGTTCCTTGAACATATATTAAAGAAGAAGCTCAAGACTTCCCCCCGAATACCCTTGAACTACTGCCTGCCTCCGCCATGAGCTCTGCCCTCCGGTCCTGCCGGAAGGAGGGCATTTGATGTCCTAAGATAGAGGGTGCTGCTAAGGGACAAGCTGTCAAGGGTGGCTGCTGGAAGCATTCCCGCAGTGGGAAGTGAGCACATGCTATAAGTTCGTCAGACTTTGGGTTTCCTGATGGAGTTAGAAGTGCCAGGAACTGTATGGTAAGGGTAGAATGTGAGGTAATGGCAGTCAGGCCTCCCTTCGAAATGGGCGATGACCACAGGACGCTCTCAGCTACCCTGCACCGTGAACGTCTCACTGGGGCTCCTGAAAGGCAGCTCGTCCGCATGCTATTGCAGTATTGGCTGCTCTCAGCCTGTGCTTTCCTCCGTCCTAAGGACAGACCCATTCTGGTAACAGAATAGATCGTTTTACCCTGCAGTGCAGCACTGGTGGGGCTCTGGTAGAAGCAGCTTCCCAAAAAGAGAGCTTTGCATCCTAACAAGTACATGCTTGAGTACCTAAAATCGGATGCTGCCAAAACACTCCCCAAGCACCTTGAGGGGACAGCCAACATGCTTGGATAGTGGATCCAGGAATTCTTGGAGCCAACATTGTGGAAACAGGCAAGAGACTTTCAGAGGCCCCCACAGCCTGGGCGTCCTGCCTGGGGAAGTAGCCAGGCCTCTCAGGGCAATGTCTGTCCTGGCTCAGAGGCTGGCACAGTTAGTTCGTGGTCCTTCTTCTGAATGCATCTTATCTAACCAGGGTTTTGCTCTGATTTGCTTCCCCTAGAAGGGCTTTGACACCACAGTTAGGTGTCATACTGAAGAGCTCTCAGTATGAACCAGGTCGGTGCTGGGTATTTTCTCTGCCACCTTGAGAAGGGGCTGCATTGCCCTGTGTCACCATTGGGTACTTAGGCCAGCAGGTTTGTGACCTGGTCACTGCACAGACAGATCCTTAAGTCTCACTGTACTTAGATTTCACTGGAAGTAGTTGTGGGTATGTCTTGTCCCTGCCTGCGGGCTCCTTATCCTAAGAAACCTCCTAAGGTTGTCCTAGAAGTGTGGGGACACCTTTTGATTTAAGGCTTCCCCAGGGGAGATTTTTGTCCTGTATCTCTGGCATCTTCCTCTCCTTTACTGGTCCCCATCATCACAGGGCACACGCACTGTCCCCTCTCTTCTGGCACTGTGGAGAAACCAAGCCAAATGCAGTTCCCGTCTGGAGGGTGTTCTGCCTCAGCAAAGAAAAGCCCTCTCCATTCCTGGCAGAACTGGGCTTCTATAGAGCTTCTGGAATTGGTTCCGCTGAAGAAAACAGCTCAGATGCCTCCTTGCATTCAGCTTGTTAGTCGGGAACTTCAAGGCCAAAAGATTTGGCAGGATTTAGAGAGTCGGCTCTCAAGCTGGCTCATTCTGAGCACACTGATGCTGCCTGTCTTTTGATGCTGAGGTGGGCTCAGTCTCCCTCTCCTGCCCTTTGTAGAGCTTTGGTGAGTACTGCAGATTCTTCAGACTCAGAGACTACCCAAGGCCCAGGGAAGGACCAGACCAGGTAGCCTGCCCGTGGCTTACCTCCAGAGGAGTGAGGTTCAGAGATGTCAGGGGTGTTTACTGAGGCCACACAGTGAGCTGGAATGGAAACAACCTCGTGTCTCCCATTTAGTTACAATTGTGGCCCATATCCCATTCCATCCGCTCAATAACTAGTCTATTCTCTCGTTCAGAGCCGAGCTCTAAGGTAAATGTTTTGGGGGTGAAGGTGGACAGTACACAGTTACTGCCACATTCCTTTCTGGGAAGCCCTGGGCTGCATCAGGAACATATAATCTTGCCCCCAGGGCTCTATTTCAGAAATAGTTTGAAATAGCTGCCTATGCCACATGCGTCTGTCAGAGAGGCTGGGAGGCAGCCTCAGAGTCAGGGAGGGAGAGGGAGGTGTATCTGTCTCTGCTCCCCTTCTCCATTTTCTTGGGTGGTATCCTCCTGGGAGACACTGGGGTAACCGGTCTTGTGGAGAACGATGATCTGTTGCCTCTTGGCTTCCAGGCCATGGGCAGGCCTGCTTTGAAGTTGCCCTGATCTAGAGCAGAGAGAACACTCTCCATCTGACACAGGCCTTCCTTGCCTGACGCCATGCGCCTTGCCTAGGTGTAAGACTTGTAGTGCCAGCCTGGGCCTCAGCCCAGAGAAGCTGGTGCACTCCAGATAGCGCAGGACGAGAGTCGGTGTTTCGGAGCCAGAAGAAACATGAGAATCACAAATGGACTCCCTCCTCTGGGAGGAGGTTGTGTGACAGACGTACCTGCTGCGGTGCGGTGCGGTGTGTCTGCCCACCAGCCATCCTTTCTGGCGTGTCATTTACATTTGAATCCTGGGGTCAATCTGGACCCTTATCCGGGCTTGACCACCAGTATCTTGAACATCTATTTGGACATGCTTCTCTGTTGCCCTGCAGCAAGATGGGCTAGGCTGTGAATCCCAGAGCCCCTCTCAGCTTCTCTCTTCTTTCTTACAGCTCACTCTGCAGAGCGCCAAATCCCGAGTGGCCTTCTTTGAAGAACTTTAGCAGTGACCCAGCCACCTCAGGAACTGCCACTTCTGCTGACAGCCACAGGATGGGCCTGACCCCATGGGAACCATCAATAGGGGCCTGGCTTGTTTGGGAACTCTCTGAGTAGAGGACGCAGTCCTCTTCGTGTGCAGTTGGTTTTGAACTTTGGCCCTGTAGAGATCTCTCAAGGTGTTTTAGTTCTCCTGGTCTGCATCTTCTTTTCTTTGTTTTTTTCTTTTCTCTCTTTTTTTTAGAAGTAATTGTTGTTGTACATGGGTGCCATCCTTCCCACATTCTAGGCACTGTGGTGTGACTGTCCAGTGTCTGCTGCTGACTCCAGAACCTGGTTTGGGAAGTGACTTTAGGATTCCAGTGTGGAGGCTGCCTAAAATCTACCATACTGGTACTACCCACTGCCCCACTGGTTCTAAGATGTGCCCCCCTCCACAGTGAGGACCTGACACAGTGCAGGAGCATGGACAGACTGAGCTTAGAGCCAGCAAAGAGGGTTCGTTAGCCAGGCTCCCCTGAGACCGTGTTGTAGCTGTCTTGATGGCAGGAGGCAGGCTTACGATTGGAGCTGTGGTGAAAGGCTGCTGGCTAGCTGAAGGAGCCCATGCGGGGATCATGACTGGCTTCAGGCTCGGACACTTGCCTGTGCTATGCTAGGGGTTTCCTGGTCACTTTCCCATCAGTGACCACGGCCTCCATTACCCCATTCAGTACGTGGACCTCCAGAGTTCTGCTGCCCGTCCCATCATACTCTGCCCAGCTCTCTGATACCTAGGCCCTGTCGCCCTTGTCTTCCCTGAGCCTGACAGAGGTGTCCACTCACAGTCAGCGGTCTCACGTGTTAACCCTATGGGTTGCTCCCTGCTGGGCAGCAGGTGCACACCATGTGGCTCGTACACTCCATGGTTAGGTCTGCCTTCTTGGAATGGGTGTCACTCCTGTGGCCAGTTGGGACCCTTAGGTCCTCAGAGAGCAGGTGATATGCCTCAGTCCATGAAAAGATGTCTGTTCACTGAAGGCAGCTGAGTCGAGGGACTGGGAGCAAAGGTATGCTCCACAGTACAATTTGGTTTTGAGAAACTGAGGCACTCTACTCTGTTCCCACTGGCTGGCCACCCATCTGGCCACTTTGCCATAGTTAGGCACCCCTGAGTGTCACCCTAGCCTCCTTGGGACTAGGACTAAAGCTGAGGGAAAGTCCTCCAGACTTGACATACTGACATTTGTCAAGTTTGCAATGGCTCTGATGTTGAGCTGTCTTTTGGACCTGAAGCCCATGCCTGAATTTCCTCCAGGACTGACTTTCTTCCTCTCTGTGAATTTAATCTTTGACAATGGCTGTGGGGCACAGGACCATGATGCTGGTTTATAAAAACTATGTCAGGCCTTGTTTTTAGTTTACTGTTTGTATCTCAAATTTGGGGAATGCCAAGCTACATAACCACGTGGGAGCCCTGGTATTTGAGCAGTGGCAGGTGTAACCATTGCCTGGTGGATGGGGCCCGAAACTCATGAGTACCTGAGCGTCGCTGGAGAGAGAGGCTGGGGTCCCCAAAGCACCACCAGCCCCAGTAGAGGAGGACTGAAAACAGTACCCATTTTGAGCCTGTGGCTGAGTTATTCGTGGCAGGCAGTTTTACAGTCAAGGAAGGACATCTCTGAAGTCCAAGGGAAGTGGCCAACTTTGGCTGTTTCATTTCTAGCTTCAGTGGCTCGTGCAGAGGTACCGTGATGCCGAAACAGTCACTGCTCAGTGCAGGACACTGAGGCCATACCTCAGCCACAGCAGCACTCTGACCCAGGGTCACTGCTGAGTTCTTGTGTACTTGCCAGGCCTTGCTAAACCACACCCGTGGATGTACATAGCACTACTTGATTTACTGTTTTATCATCTTGTAGACAGATTTCAAAAAAGTTCAGAGGCTGCCAGCCAACAGCAGTGACTAACTATCCTTGCCAGCAGGGCCAGAGCCTCAAAGCCCCTGGGGCAAGCGCCTTCACGATGTGGGGCTGGGGTGTGCAGCCTCTCCCAGGTGCCTTGAGGCTAAGCCAGCGCCCGCGGGCTACCATTCCTCTGTTCTCTTATTAAACAGCTCTTCCTGTGAGGCCTGTTGTCACTCCTGTGGGCCCAGACCATGAAGCTGTTTTCTATTTGGGGTGGGGTGATTGTAATTTAAGTGATTGTTTTAATAAAAATTCTAAGCTGCTAGAGTCTGTCATTAGTGTCCTAACTTTTTTTAGCTTTTTGTTTTCTGTATATTGTATCTGAATGTATATATGTGCACCACATGTATGTCTGTTGCCCACAGAGGTCTGAAGACATCGGACCCCCAGCACTGAAATTGCGGATGGTTGTATGTTACCATGTGGTTGCTGGGAACTAACCTGGGTGTCCTGGAGCAGCAAGTGCTCTCAATCTGAGCCACATGCTTGCAGGCAGGACACTCAGACACAAATACTCTATGGCATACACCTGTATAGTTCTCAGGAGGCTGAGGCAGGAGGATTACAAGTTTGAGGCTAGCCTGTCCCCAAAATAAACTAAGTCATTATGCTATGTAGCCTGATGACTGGCGCTCTGTGCGAGTGTGCTGTGCCATCACGAGACAGTGAGACCCCAACGCTGCATTTCCGAAATCACTGGGCGATGCGTGCCTGGATGCACATTTCCCAGGGTCTGAGTTAAACACTATTTTGGAATGAAGTTATAACAGAATTATAAAAGTTTTGGCAATGGTAGCATAACTGATTAAACCACACTTTTTTGAGGGAGTATTTTGTGGTGGTGTTGGTTTTGTTTTGTTTGTTTGGCTTTTCAAGACAGAGCTTCTGGCCTGACTATCCAAGAACTCAGTCTGTAGACCAGGCTGACCTTGAACTCAAGAGATCAGCCCGCCTCTGCCTCAGCCTCCTGAGAGCAGGGATTAAAGGTGTGCACCACTGTGCCCAGCTTAGGCCACACTGTTTTTGAGACAGGATCTCGCATGTAACCCTGACTGTCCTCAAACTCACAGAGATCCACCTGCCTCTGCTTCCTGAATGCTGGGATTAAAGGTATACGCCACTGCACCTGGCAAAACATTTTTTTTTTTGAGATCTGTCTCCTATATCCCAAGCTACCCTTAGTCTCACTGCAGAGCTGAAGATGACCTTGAACTCCAGTTCCTCTTGTCTCCCCACCCCCACCCCTAGTACTGAGACTACAGTCAGCCACACCACTCTTAATTTATGTGGTGCTGGGGGTCCTACTCGGGGCTTCAGGCGTGCTATTTTGTATTGGATCAATTTAAATACAAGTTTCCTGCATATAGATTATTAGTCCTAATAACTGGAGGGGCCTGAATTCCTCACAGTCAAAGCAGAGAAACTGCTCTCTATATACTGGTCATGTTAAGCAGTATGTTTACCTGACTTTTTAAAGACCCCAGTAGTCCAAAGTGCTCACACTGTCAGCCTAGCGTCTCCATCAAGCAGAGCTGGAACTGACAGTATTGGCTGATAGTTCCATTATTTTGAAACATTATGTAGTCCAGACTGTCCCCATCTCCCAGTCCTGCCTTGCTCACTCTAGTGCTGAAATGACAGGTGTTCATCTGGTATGGAATGACAGGCTCTGCCTGGCATCGCGGTGTGGAACAGATTGCCCAAGTTCTAGTGTTTTCAGTTGTCCTGGCCTATGATGGCAACTCTAGGTAGCTTGGACCTTGGTCCTTCGTTGTGGGTGGTGTCCACTGCTGTCACTGCGGTCTCCCAGCCAGCACTTCCTCCTCTGCCTGTGCTTCTTGAGTGGGGAGTACCTGGCAGCTGCCCTCTGGGGCTGAGTGTCCCAGAAGCCTTCATGGGGAGGGTCAGATAGGAGTCCCACCTGTAATGAAGAGCTGGGAACCCAGGTCTAGAAGGGCAGAAGGTTCTGAAGGCAGTAAACTGCTGCAACCTTGTCTGGTTCAACCCCTTGCAGTCTGGAGAAGAGAAAGTCACTGTCTTCACCTCTCTGTCTCCCTGCAGACAGCCCAGACATCCTCTCCAGCAAGAGGGCTCTCCCCCGCCCCTCCCTGCCTGCCGTGTGGGGCTCCCTGGCAGCCTGTCATTACTGCATTATGGCAGGATCCCGAGGCTGCAGTTCCAGCCCTGTGGGGAGAAAGCTCCTTTAGCCATCAGCGTGGTGGCAGGGCAGCACTAGCAAATTATGGGGCCGTTTATCAGCACAGCAAGGTCTCTATCTGGCTCAGAGGGGACCCCCGCTGGTTCCTCTTCTGTTTCCACTGGATGCCCATTTCTCACTGGAGTGGTCACCCCAGAATAGCACCTCGCCTGCTGCTGCCAGGTAGACTTCAGGGCTGCCTGAGAACCCTGAAGTGGAACCACAGAAACTTCAGCCTTCGGTTATCAGCACTGCCTAGCCGGGCACAGCCCTTACTCCCAGGGCAGCGTCCTCCGCCAGTTCTGTAAAGGGATTGACAGTGATCCCTCTAGGGGCCTCCGGCAGATGAAGGACAGAAACAAAAAGCACTCCAGAGTCACAAGAGGACTCAGTGGGTAAAGATACTTGCTGTTAAGTTCAATCCCAGGACCCACGAGGTATTGGAAGGGAGAGAGCCGACTCCAACAAGTTGTTTTCTGATCTCTACCCAAGCACAACAGCACATGCATGCCATCCCCCAATAAATATGTGTAATAAAAAATAAGTATTTCAAGACAATAATAAAAAAATTAAATGCCAGACAGTGATGGCACATGCCTTTAATCCCAGCACTCAGGCAGGCAGATCTCTGAATTCTAGGCAAGCCTGGTCTACAGAGTGTCAAAAAAACAAAAACAAAACAAAAAAAGTATTCCAATTTCTCAGAAAAGTGTAGTATAGGCATGGAACAACAGGAAGAAACAGGATGTTTTGTTTTTAGTTTCTCAGAAAAGTGTAGTATAGGCATGGAACAACAGGAAGAA